CCCCGGCTTCTTGGGGGCGCCCGCGGGGGTTGGAGGGGGGGGGGGGGGGGGGGGGGGGCGCCAGAAAGAGCCGGGTACTACGACCTCTGGAGTATATATTTAGCGTCTCAAGTCAGCTGCCGTGAACCTATCAAACTGGCAAAGCTCACACGACCTCACACGATCATTGACTCCACCGGTGCATACCGCGTACTAGTACCCGGGTGCGGAGTGAAAAAAAACCCAGACGTTAGGGCAGCCAGCCGAGCCAATGACTAGGGGCTATAGGGTAGCAAGAGAAGATCCCACAACGGTACTCAGGCGCCGATAAAGCCCACGTTATCATTTGCCCTAGATTCCACGGTTACATGGGGCCTTTAGCCTTCTCTAGCGTGGCTTAAAGTGAGACGGGAGCTCCGCAGTACTCCGTCGGCCGCTCCGTGACTGGGTGCCAGCAATAGCCACACAGGACCAAGTGCACGAAGAAGGGGACTCCTCCGAGCATTAGCGCGACTTAGCCTGCAGTTCCTTTATCTCAGCCTTCCAGAATTCCCCGCACAGAAGTTTTTGATAAACCGATTTTTCGCCCCCCAAGCTCTTGCCCAAATACCAATGGGAATTCTTTGATCGTTCCTTCCCTCTCTCTCCCGTAGATCTTCAACAATCCGCGGGAGGTTGGCTTTGCATCCCAAACCTTTCTTCCTACATACTCGACTAATCATGGATCAAAAATCGGAAATCCCTGCAGATCCAAAGCTGGATCCTGCAAACCAACATCCGCATGCTCATCACCACCACACCGCCTTTGCCGAACAGGGGCGCGAAGAAGAGGTAGTTTATGCGCAGGATACATTTGACAAGGGCGTCGAGCCAGCACCCGTCGACACTGCCAGCAAGAATTCCGACGAAGAAGCCGCGCAGAGATCTCCGGCACACCGAACGTGGCTCCGTCGCGTAGGAAAACAATGGCGACACATGGTTCATGCTGTCATTTGGCTCTTGTTTACCGGGTGAGTTTTATGGCCGGCCGATATCAGGAAAAGAAATCGGAAGACTCATGCTTTTTCTAGCTGGTGGATTGCTGGCCTGATTCTGCATCGATATGACCGGGGATGGTTGATTCCTTTCCTCCTCTACCTAGCTATCACCCTGCGGATCATCTTTTTCTACGTGCCCATCACCATCGTCACAAAGCCCATGTACTGGGTGTGGGAGCATACCGCTCGTCCCTTGGTGGGCGTCATTCCGCCAAAGCTCAGAACCCCTCTTGCAGCTTTGCTGTGTGTTGCAGTGATTCTGGTCGGCTCGTTCGCTTCTCCCGAGTCGGAGGATAACACTCGTGCGAACCGAGCGGTCAGTCTATTCGGTATGCTGGTCTTCATCTTTGGTCTGTGGGCCACTTCACGGAATCGTAAGAAGATCGTCTGGCACACCGTCATCGTCGGCATGTTAGCGCAGTTCATCATCGCCCTCTTCGTGCTCCGCTCAGGTGCTGGCTACGATATCTTCAACTTTATCTCTGGCCTGGCCAGTGATCTGCTCGGATTTGCCGTTGACGGTGTCACCTTCTTGACAAGTGAGGATTTCTATAACACGAAAACCCCCTTTGCCCCCGCAAACTTCTTCCTCGTCAGCGTCGTGCCTGCAATTATCTTCTTCGTCTCCCTGGTCCAGCTGTTATATCACTATAATATCCTCCAGTGGTTCGTCGGCAAGTTCGCCGTGTTCTTCTTCTGGAGCATGCGAGTTTCCGGCGCCGAGGCCGTCGTCGCCGCCGCCTCGCCTTTCATCGGCCAAGGTGAATCCGCCATGCTGATCCGTCCGTTCATCGAACACCTCACCATGGCCGAATTGCACCAAGTCATGTGTTCCGGCTTTGCCACCATCGCCGGAAGTGTTCTCATCGCCTACATCAGTATCGGTGTTAACCCGCAAGCAATGGTCAGCGCCTGTGTCATGAGTATCCCGGCTTCGCTGGCGGTTTCCAAGCTTCGCTGGCCCGAAGAAGAAGAATGTCTCACGGCCGGCCGTGTGGTCGTCCCTGAAAGCGAGGATCATAAATCATCCAATGCCTTGCACGCTTTCTCGGGTGGTGCGTGGCTCGGTCTCAAGATCGCTTCTATGATTGCTGCAACTTTGCTGTGTATTATCTCTTTCGTGGGACTCATCAACGGTCTCCTGACTTGGTGGGGCCGATACCTCAACATCAATGACCCCCCTCTCACCCTCGAGCTTATTGTCGGCTACATCTGCTATCCGATTGCCTTCTTGCTCGGTGTTTCCCGTGATGGAGATTTGCTGAAGGTCTCCCAACTAATTGGTCTCAAGCTCGTCACCGTATGTCCTCCTATCCATATACATATATCTTACATCTTGTCTAACGCCTCGCAGAACGAATTCGTCGCTTACAAGGCGCTCCAAGACAGCGCAGATTATGCTGATCTTTCTGATCGCTCTCGCCTCATCGTCACCTACGCCCTTTGTGGTTTCGCCAACATTGGATCCCTGGGCAACCAGATCGGTGTGCTTTCGCAGATCTCGCCCGGTCGTGGTGGTGATGTTTCGCGTGTGGCATTCAGTGCTATGATTACTGGCGCCATCAGTACTTTCACCAGTGCTTCTGTTGCCGGGTTGCTTATTACCAACGAGAAGCAATACTTCGGTACCTAGTATTTTACATAATTACTCAACGAGCTATGACCTTAAGTCAGAGAATCGATATCATCTACGAGTCTCTTGTGCGAGCCACAATAATTCCCATCTTGCCAACGCCGGTACCTAAGTACAGGGTGAGTTTTATTCTCCAATACCGAATGTGCGGAGCAATCTAGACGCATGTGCGCTATGCAAAAAAGGCAAATAAGTGTACAAAATCAACAGACACCAGGAATGGTTCAAGGAACCCAACCAGGCAGGTGGCGGGTGAGTAAGGGAGTCCAGACAGCTCGCTTATACTCTCATTCTCATCTGCGAGAAACCAGGAAGATAAAGATGAAACAACCAACCGAACCAAACAAACAAACAAACAAAACTCCCAGGCTCCAAAGCCATTATGCACGCATAGCACGATCCCAATGCCAGGAGGCTAACCGACGCCAATGATGCAAGCTCAGTAATTACTCATCATCCAAATCCTGGTGGCGGGCGAGGACGTGACGTTTGAATTCCTCTTGGTTTGAATCCCACAGCTCCGCGGCTTGGGCGTTGAGAGGGCTCGCGCTGCGGATGTTAGTTCCGGTACTGGCAAGACGGGCAATTGGATGCTTACTTGTTTGGTTCGCCCAGAAGACTTTGTAAACTGAGCAGCACGCTAGAAACGTTGTATACCGCGCTCCACTTGTCCTTCAGGATGTCGAGACAGATTCTACCGGAGAAGTCGAAGTTCGGGTGGTAGATGGGGGTTTTGAAGAGGACGGTTGGGGGAGAGTAAGGGTAGTCGTTCGGGAACTTGAAGGAGAGCTTCAATGTCAGACCCTCGTAGGGTGTTTCGGTGGGACCGGTGATGGTGGCTGTCCAGGCGAGGAGGTTGCCGTCGGCGTCTGGGAAGGCGGAAATGCCGGGAGAGGGCGAGAGCATAAGCTGCATGAGCTCAGCTTGGAGACTGGAGGGAGGAATCAGTCTTTCGTCTCGGTGTTGAGGTTATTGAGGGGACGAACCGTTTGGTCACGCTCTGAGTGTCATTTCTTTGGGCGACTTTCTGTGCCTCCACCGGGTTCTGAGTGTCTTCCATGTTGTAGTCCATTGTGCCTAGATCGAAGAGGAAACGGATTGAAATAGTAGGGTAGTGGAATTGGAATGATAGGGAGTGGAATGTCCTGGGGCCAAAGAGAGGAAAGGTGGGAGAGGAGAAATGAACAAAGAGAAATTGGGAAGTTTGGATTTGTTTACAGCCGCCCCGGGCAACGAGAGAGAGAGACCCCGCTACCCTATGCATCTATGGATTTTGTGTGGAATTGGATAATATATAGACAGCCTACAGTATTTTCGAGCTCTGAGTTATAGAGCTTTAATTTTAATCAAAAATAAAACTGTACGAAAGGAGCTCTCCATCAAGACCAAGTCGATCTCGCATATTACCAACTGCGGGTCTTGGTGTTTTGGCGCTTGGATGTTAATTTGGCCTGTACGTTGGCGCTTGCATGAACATCTATACTTCATACTGTTCTAGCACATGCCGAAGTATATCGAGATACTAAATGAATACCTTGCTGTTCTCACAAACAATGTGTTTGGTATCTGCCCTTCCCAATGCTCGTTTCTGCCTATCAACAGATTACCCGATCAGGATATAGTGGCCCGCGTCGCATCCCGCGTCTCGCTACCCTTGCTTCAACGCGCACCAGAACAGCTTCTCAGCTTCCAACGTCCTTGCTAATAAACTATGCTATCATAATCCTAATCTCTTCTTTTCTTCATCTCTACCCTATTCCGAGTTTCATCCCATAATGCATCACTCGCAGCTGGCCCCGCTCCCGAGCAATGTACCTTTTCGCATTGTGTCCAGAACCATTGGCCAGGGCGCCTATGCCTGGTAAGTGAGAAACCGGTCGCAGAGACCTCAATGTCTGACACGAGATCGCATACAGCATCAAGAAAGCCTGTCCCCTCGACGATGATAACCCCGTCTTCGCCGTCAAGTACATTCACAAAGATTACGCCGCGCGCCACGGAAAGATCAGCGCAAGACAACTGGCGATGGAAGTGACGGTCCACAAGCACGTTTCTGGGCATGGGAATATTATCGAATTCTTCACAACGGGGGAGGACGACGTGTGGCGTTGGATCGCAATGGAGCTCGCTGAGGGCGGGGATCTCTTCGATAAGATCGAGGCCGATGAAGGTGTCGGCGAGGACATTGCTCACGTCTACTTTTCGCAACTCATCAGTGCCGTTGGCTTTATGCACTCCAAGGGTGTAGGACACCGAGATATCAAGCCTGAGAATATGCTGTTGACCGGCGATGGGAATCTGAAGATCGCAGATTTTGGTCTGGCCGCGCTGTTTGAGTATAAAGGAACGCGCAAGATGTCTACGACATTCTGTGGCAGCCCACCGTATATTGCCCCGGAGGTCATCTCTAGCAGTACTAAGGGTACCAACAAGGGATCCGGGTATCACCCGGACCTGGTTGATATCTGGTCTTGTGGTATTGTGTTATTCGTTCTTTTGGCAGGCAACACACCGTGGGATAGCCCGACAGACGACAGTTATGAGTATCACGAATATGTAGCGACCAATTCCCGCACAACAGATGAGCTTTGGCAAAGGTTACCTTCCGCGACGCTATCATTGCTGCGCGGGATGCTCACTGTGGACCCCAAGGGTCGGTTCTCGCTTGAAGATGTCCGAAGACACCCTTGGTATACTCGTGCCAATAAGTTCCTGTCAATCGATGGCAAGCTGAGAGATCCAATCAATCTCGCCACGTCGATGTTCGAATCGCTCCATATCGATTTCAGTCAAGATCCACTGTCTCGACCACGCAAAGGCACAGGGCGCAGCTTCGACCAGATGGACATGGACGTGGAAGATAACACAACTGCGGGATTTTCTTCCACGCAACCAGAGATGCTCGGTGGTGGCATGATGATGGACTGGGACAATCCCCAAGCGGCGGATGTGTTCTCCTCCACACAACCGCTGGGGAAACAATTCGCTTCCCAGGATGCAGTAATGGCAGGTCACCTGGAGGACGAGCCGTCAATGTCCCAATTCTCGCAGCAGCCCTCAGTGCCAGTGAGTCGAACTCAGAACGCGCAAAAGTTCCAGGACATCATTCCCTCGCGCGCAATGACGCGCTTCTATTCCTCGTGGGAGCTTAAACTTCTTGTGCCGCTCATTTGTGAGGCACTCCACCGACTGGGGGTCCCAGTTCCTAGTGTACCTGCCGTGACTGCCGGAGATACCTCTGCACTGATCCGAGTTACTGCCAAGGATGGTCGAATGTGTCCGCTTCAGGGCAAAGTGCTTATCGAGTGTGTTTCCGAAGGGGTTTTCGAGGTTGAATTCGTCAAAATGAAAGGAGATCCTTTGGAATGGCGTCGGTTCTTCAAGAAAGTTGCTATCCTATGTAAGGACGCTGTCTTTCGCCCCGATGAGTAGAGCTTGCACTTTCATGTTGGATTTGACTTTTATGTTTGCTTTTTTACTTCAATGTACGATTCATGATTGGTTAAAAAATGGATGGGGGAGTTGGAAAACTCTATCAGATGCATATGCGGAGTAGTTCTCGGGTGAAAAGAGAACGAACTCTGAGTTTTGCTTGAGAAAAAAACAATATACATAAAAGAGAGAAAAAGAAGCCAGAAACACGTATATGACACAATCCAATCTCTGTGATTTTTGCAAGATTCTTGCACTTGATAAGTCTACAACCCCATAATGGTACCCTGTAGAGAGATGTCGGAGAAGTTTCCCGCAGAGGTACCTGGGACCAAACAGCGACCTATCAGCTTGACTTCTCACCCATTGGCATCTCGACCAATCCTCAGCCCCTTCCACGTGACGGTCTGGACTCGGACTCAGCCTCGGGCGCAGATCGCGGGGAAAACAAGGGAGGAAAATAAAAAAAGAGCTGTGAGCCCCGCCAAACGAAAAACATCCCCGATGCTGTCCCCATCATGGATAAGCTGCCGGTAGAGATCCTGACCAGCATCCTCGATCGTAAGCGCCCGGACCTTTCCCCGCATCGTTAGCGAGAGCTGATAGTATCGTCAGTCCTCGCCCCACGAGAGAAGGTCCAGTTGCAATCTGTGTCCAAGAAGTTCTTCGACATCGCCCGTGATAACAATCAGTGGAGACTGCATTGCTATGAGCAGTCATGGGCGGCGAAACAGGCTTCCCGTCGCGCGGCTCGTGCGGAAACTCTGGTCTCGGACACGGCTTCCTTGACAACCTTGGGTCAAGACTCGCTGCGTGATCTCATTGAACCCTCGATTCAGGAAGATCGCGAAGAAACTGGGATTTCATGGGGTGAAAGGGCCAGGGCAGCGACAGAATGGGACACATCCACCGAGGGAGAGCATGTTGATTGGTACTCGGAATACATAGCTCGCCAAGGGCCTGTATCCTTATCATGGATTGAGCAACCTTCGGCCCCAGGGGACAAGGGAAAGCAAGAACGTGCCTACGAAGTAAAGGGCATGGGTTTACTGAAGGACTGGAGTTCCGCAAGACAAAACAAGATTGTGGCCCCGCTTGAAGATGGCAGCGTCTGTATCTGGGATTTGAACCATGCCCATTGCGCCTCCTCACAAGCGAAAAAAGGCAGCATCCTGGGGAGGAGCGAGCCAGGGATCCTCACCACTAATCTGTCCGGCCGCCGGGAGTCTGCTCCATCGAAGACTGCACTAGAGTTCATCAACCTCGGCGGAGGAGTCAGTGTAGATTCTTTACGCCAAAGGGCATATCTGGCAATTGGGAATGTCCTCAACGAAGTTGATTTGAACACACTGCGGGTGATATCCCAACAGCGATATCCGTGGTCAATATTCGCTCTCTCTCAGGAAACAGACTATTCCGTGCCTTTAACACTAGCCACTACGTTGAGTCTGCAGATTTATGACTCTCGACTATCTGCTGTTGAGGAAGAAGAGGCTATCAGCTCGCGCTGCGAGCAGGTCAGCATATCTGCCCCGGAATTGGGCATATTCGCCCACCCCGACTCGCCCCTGTTGCAACTGCAGCCCAATGGACAACCGCCTACTCGTATCCGCAGCCCAGAGCCCTCGGAAAAGGGTGCCAACTACGCTCCACTCTTTCAGCCTGGCCCTCTTTCTATCTTACACCCACCAGCTCCCCACGTGAACACAATACTTCTGGCGGGTCGTTTCCCCAGCATTCTATGCTATGACCGCCGTTTCTTCCCTCGACTGCAAACGACCGTCCACTCCGGTGGCCGTATATGCGGCCTTGCGTCCGTGCCAGGACCTCGATTCCCCGTCTTCTCGGACTCTGTATACCCGGACTCACATTCCGTTGTGGCATGTGGCGACTACAACGGTCGAGGCTCGCTGGAACTTTACAACCTCAAATCAGCAGAACACAACACCCCGCCTGACAGGACCTCGAATCTAGACTCGGAATATAAAAATCGCCAAAGTGCTGCTAGCTCGAGACTGCTTTCCGTGGGATCTCACGGGACCCGTATTGTCTTTTCGGATGCGGAAGGAAATATCAAATGGACGGAACGTGATGGGCGCTCGGAAGTCCGGCGTTGGAATATCAACACCTCCCAACCCCAAATTCATTTCGGTGGCCGCCAAGAAAAGTCAGGCGAAGAGCCGCGAGGACTCTGGCCTTCCCAGTCTCCGGGGAGCCATGAGGTTGCGAGAAAGATCTTGCCTACAGGTGGGAATCTTACTGGGGATGAGCTACTCGTTTGGACTGGAGAACGCATTGGGCGTCTCAAATTTTCAATTCCAGCAGAGTATCAACAGGAAGAGGATGATGATGATACCTTTATGCATGCTGAGGTAGATGAGGCCACACGCGAAGAAATGCGACATCGGCAGCGGGAAGATTGGGAGAGGGAGCAGTATGGTGATTATATGCGTCGTGCTCTGGAGAGGCAAGCCGATGAGGTGCGCTGGATGGGTAACCGTGGACTGGGCTAGACACACATCTAGAACATTTTGTTACATAGCAAAAGCGAGAGATTTAGAAGCCAAGGACAGTAGACCTCGGAGACAAACCGTTTCCACTTTCCACTTTGGGTCCCGAGGCTTATCAATTGCCCGTCCCGGTTGCTCCGCTTCTATCACGAGCATTGCTAATACTCGTGTCAGCCACTGACTCAACTTCTTGGTCCCCCCAAAGGTCTTCGTCTTCTTAGACTCAATACTTGGCAATTGAATTTTCTCAATCTCACAGTCCTTTAGTGACCCTTCTACATATCCCCGCACCAAACCTCGAATTCCGTGTCCCGCAGTGAGGGGCAAAAAAAGAAGCCGAAATGCCTACACCCACAGATGTCGCGCACCAATTCGACTCAATTGAAGATACAATCGTCGCCTTTAGTGAGTCATTCCACACACCAATACCTCACGGGCATGCCATATGCTCAAATGCCCAGCTATTCCGGACCAACCAACTAACCAAGCACAGAAAATGGTGAATTCATTATTGTTCTCGATTCGCAGGACCGCGAGAATGAAGGCGATCTCATCATCGCTGCGGAATCAATCACAGCAGCTCAAATGGCCTTCCTAGTCCGCTACACAAGGTAAGCCCGCCACGCTCATTGCACGCCCCCGAGGCCTCCCAAACTAACCAAACCCCACTAGTGGCTTGATCTGCGCCCCGATCACTCCCACGCTGGCAACCCGCCTTGCACTTCCCCAGATGGTCCTCGAGAACACCGACCCCAAATGCACCGCATACACAATCACAATTGACTCCGCCGACGACTCCATCACAACCGGTATCTCTGCCGAAGACCGCGCGCTGACCTGTCGCACTCTGGCGTCGCCAGATGCGCAAATAGACTCGTTCCGCAGACCGGGTCATATTATCCCGCTGCAGGCTCGGCCGGGCGGCGTGCGCGAGCGCACAGGTCACACGGAGGCGGCGGTGGAGTTCTGTCGTTTGGCGGGCAAGGCGCCTGCAGGTGTGATTGCCGAGCTGGTGGAAGAGGGAACAACTGTTCCTGGCGTGGCCGAGGTCGGGGGCAGTAATGGGATGATGCGCCGGGATGGATGTCTGGCGTTTGGAAAGAAATGGGGAATCAAGGTCTGTACAATTGAGGACTTGGTGGAGTATGTGCATAAGACCGAGGGCTCTGCGAATGGAAAGCACTAGTCTGCTTCCTTGAGCTGTACGTGTGTTGGGTACCTTCTAAAGTTGTATATCATCATGAGTTCTCTGGGGTTACCTTGCTACTAGATGATTTTTGATGCATTTTGAGATATATTGGCTACTGCGGCAGAGGCAATTTGGGACTTCTGCCCAGTGTGAAATTGCATATTTGGTTATTTGGGTATCTATTATTTTGGCTGTGTAATGTACAAGGGCAGCAGTTCGGCAATTTCGGCCAACAGGAATGTGGATCGTGGGAAATGTTCCTCGTACCGACAGTAAAGCCGTACGCATTTTGTCCCGAATGAAAACGCCATATCAATGCAAGTTTTGTCGTATCAAGAACGATCGATGTGTGGTCCGGCAAAGCGGATCACCTAGGAGAGCAGCTTGACCAGTGAGTGGCCTTGTTCACCTACCGCTTGAGATGCGAGTAGTCTCTCAGAATGCCAGTCATATGTGTGTTGGTGGTCTTGCCACTGCGACGCGGCTTCTTTGCCTTTCGAGATGGCGCAACAACCCGGGGCCCGACAACCTTGTTCTTGTTGGTAGGGGTGATGCCAAACTTCTCAAGTTCCTCCTTCACGATGTTCGGGTCAGGGATCTTGATTTTCTCCCAAATGTGCTTGAACTCGTCATCGAAGTGTTCAATGAGAGATGGATCGTTAGCCCAAACCATCTTGGGATGATCATCCTTCTTGTTCCGAGTCACCAGTAGCTTCCCTTCCTTCTCCATCTGGTTGATCCCCTCCTCGGCATTTGGCCAACCCTCCTTGAGATCCCGGACACTCATACCGGATGCCGTTTTTTGGTTCTGGAGGTGCTTCAGAAGTTGCTCGGGGTTGCGGATGTTGTGCGTGGGACGGAATCGGAAACTTCCTTCGCCGTTGGCACCGCTCGGGTCGAACTCCACCTTCTCGTGCATCTGCAAGATGCTCCGAAGAGCTTGGACGTAGCCTTTATCATGGGCACGGCTTTGCAGAGATAGGTAGGAGATGATATCGGAGAACTTGAGTGCCACGTTCTTGTTCTTCATGTGCTCGATCGCAAAGAGCACCTGGGTCATGATATCCTTACCCGTACCCGTGTTGGCGGGTTGCGAGTAGACGATGTCAGGATCATGGCGCTTCTTCTTCAGCTCAATGGAGGGTGAGGGTGTGGGCGCGGCCGACGGAGCCTGGGAGCTGGTGCCGGAGACAGGTGTAGGTTGGTTGTTGGCTACACGGCGCTGTGTGGGCATCCGATTCGCTGACTCCTTCACGCTAGCGTTGAAGCTGTTGAGCTGGTTCTGAAGGTACGACATCGTTGCAACGGAGGGGATGAACCGTTGGAAAATGACTGGAAGGGCACCTGCGTGGTAACTCAGGTGAGATCAGAGACCCAAGGTATGTTATTCAGGCTAAACCCGAGTCCACGTGACAGACCCACAGTGTACAAAGAATCATATGTACATACATAGTATGCTATTTCTGTCGCAACAATGACAAGTTGCATTTCAAGATGGAATATGAATGGAAGTAACTCTTTGCAGTGTGGCATTAAAAGTTAAATGGTGGCTTTTGAGACCTGATACCTGAGTAGTAGCTTCAATTGAGTCTGTTGCTCTATTGAAAGATAGGATGTGTTGCCTTTGTACTTTAACCCAACCAGTGCATATTCAAGTTTTTTGTACTGTATGGGATGGACAGAAAGCCATTTAACTAAGGGCTAGCACAGTCAAAGGCAATCGATCAATGTAGGAGAGGACGACTGTATGCAAATTACATTGCCGTCAAGCTGCACAAACTTGAACTGACGAGGAGATGGGAGCAAGAAGATACGTAACGTAGCCTTATAGATCCCAGTGAGGATTGTCAATGGCGTTTCGAAGCAGCACTATCATGCTTAAATGTTTGCTCGAGTACATCATTGTATAATTGACGACAAAGAAGTATCACGTGATAGCATGCGCTAACCGGAACGGGTGCGCCCCAAAGCGCGGAACTGGAACTCGCCCTTGAAGTCACCCCAGTCTCTTTCTTTTACAAACCCACTCATTCAATCCCTCTTTGGTCGTGAAAGACCTCCTCTTTTTTATCCTTTCTGCATCGTCATGATCTGAGGTCTCTACCAAGCGCCGTGTGTACTCTCTGAGCAGTACGCAGCGCGCTGATACTCGAGATCCCAGCTTGCGCCGTTCAAATACTCACCTTCTGAACTTACCCAACCTTGTAGCCTTTGGCTTTTGGTAACTCGACAAAATGGCTGAAACTGCCGTGCAACTACCTTATCTCTCGTCCCACTATGCAATTCCCGAAACCACGCTCACGACGCTTACACAGGCTCCAACCGTGGAGCTTGTCAATCAGCTCTTAGAATCCATCAACAAAAAGGCACACGAATCCGACGAGCTCAAGTCTGATAAGCTTCGCTTGGAGGTTGAGCTTGAGAATGCTGTGCGCAGTAATGAGTCGAAGGTGAAGGTTCTGAAGACCAACGTGGAGAAGGGACACACAGAGGTCGCAGACCTGAGGAAGAAGCTCCACGATGCCGGTATCTATCAACTACTTACATCCGAAAGACGGAATCGCTGACGACTTTCAGAAACCACTCGCGCCACACTGGAGAGCGAGATCGCGACTCTCAAATCATCCTCCACATCGACTGAATCCGAAACCACATCTCTCAAATCACGAATCTCATCGCTTGAAGCTTCTAACCGAGACACACTCGCATTGCTTGAATCCAAATCCGCGGCCCACGACAAGTTGGCTGAAGAGCTTTCTGCTCAGCACAAAAAGACCATCGAATTGCGACGTGAACTATCTACCGCAGAGCAAAATCTCCAGAGTGCCAACGCGGCCTCTGCCAGCGCACGCTTCCGTGAACAGAGTCTACAGCAGGAACTGGATCTTACCAAGAAAAATAACGAGTGGTTCGAGACGGAGCTGAAGACAAAGTCTGCTGAATACATCAAATTCCGCAAAGAAAAGGGCGCTCGCATCTCAGAGCTCCAACGCGAGAACGAGGAAGCAAACTCTACTGTCGATTCCCTCCGACGCAGCGAGATTTCCTTGAAGAGTCGCCTGGATGAGACAGAGCAACGGTATGAAGGTGCTCTGGCCAGCATACACCAACTTAAGGAGGAAGCCATCCAAACGACCGAGTCTTTCCGCATTGAACTTGATAGCTCCAACCGTCTTGCCGAATTACAAGGATCTGCTGCACAAACTGCTAAACAACGCGTGCAAGAGTGCCAGCTTGCTTTGGAGAAGACCAAGGATGACGCTGCCCAAGAGATTTCCCGCATTCGCGTGGAACTCGAAACCGAAACAAATGACAAGAGTACCGCGGAGCGTCGTATCGCTGAGCTCGAGGTACTTGTTGCCCAACTCGAGTCTGGAACGGAGAGAGGCAGATCTGCAAGCCCTTCACTTTCTACGAATGGAGGACCCCCTAGCACTCCTAAGCGAACGGCCCTGTTACGGACCAGTGGCACTCCCAATGGTTCATTCTCTCCCCGTGCTTCTCTTAATGGAAGAAGCCTCAATGTTACCCAAATGTACTCTGAGTATGATCGCATGCGGACCAGTCTTGCTCAGGAGACGAAAGAAAAACAAGAGCTCAAGCATGCTCTCGACGAAATCTGCATGGAGCTTGATGCTACCAAACCTGAGATTGAGGAGGGACGTGTGGAATGTACCCGACTTGAGCATGCAATTGTGGAAATGTCTAGCCTTCTTGAGGCCGCTGGAAAGGAACGTGATGTTGCACAGAAGGAGGCGCGGAAGTGGCAAGGCCAGGTCGAAGGCTTGGCCCGCGAAGGAGACATTCTTCGCCAACAACTCCGTGACCTCAGCGCAGAAGTCAAGGTCCTCGTCCTTGAAGTTGCTGTTGCCAAACATGGTGGAGACTACGACCGTGAGGAACTTGAAAAGATTGCTCGCGGGGAAGTTGAAGAGTCTGCAAAGGAATTGAACGAGACTGGTCGCTTTATCAGTCAGAATCTCACAACCTTCAAAGATCTCCATGAGTTGCAAGACCAGAACAACACTCTTCGGCGCATGTTGCGGGAGCTCGGTGACAAGCAGGAGGGCGAAGAGGCTCAGGCCAAGGAAGCTGCCCGCCAGGCAGAAATCGACGAATTGAAGGAGCTTCGCACACGATCCCAGACCAACCGTGATGAGATCGCCAACCTCAGTGCACAGATGCAGAGCTACGTCAAAGAGCGTGATACTTTCCGCAGTATGCTCATGCACCGCAAGCGGAATGATGAAGATCCCTCAATCTTCTCCCAGTCCATGCCTCTTGGTGCTGCCCCGGGCAGTGTCGAGTCTGGACCGGACTATGCCGATCTACTCCGGAAGGTCCAAGCCCACTTCGACACTTTCCGTGAAGAAACCACAACCGACCACAAGGCCCTTCGCCAACAAGTCAACGAGCTGTCCCGCAAAAACAGCGAGTTGCTTTCAGATGTCAGCCGCTCAAGCAGCCAGCATGCCGCCGCTTCCCAGCGTGCTGAGCTTCTCCAGAGCAACTTCAACATGCTGAAGAACGAGAACGCCGAGCTCCAGAAGCGTTACTCTGCTCTCTTTGAGAATGCGAACCGACAGGACCTTCGCACACAGCAAGCTGCTGAAGACCTCGTCGAGGCTAAGGGTCTTGCTGAGAGCTTTCAGAGAGAAAACGCCAACCTCAAGGCGGAGAAGGATCTGTGGAAGAACATCGAGAAGAGACTCATCGATGATACCGAAAACCTACGCAATGAGCGCGCCCGCCTCGATTCCCTCAATGGCAACCTTCAGACCATTCTCAACGAACGTGAACACACCGACTCCGAAAGCAGACGTCGCCTTCAAGCTAGCGTGGAGTCCCTCGAAACCGAACTTCAATCCACAAAGCGCAAACTCAATGATGAAGTTGAGGAGTCAAAGAAAGCAAACATGCGTCGCGAGTTTGACCATGAGCAAAGCCAGAAGCGCATTGATGATCTGGTGACTAGCTTGAGTTCAGTTCGTGAGGAGCTGGTCGCTGCCAAGACTACTCGCGATCACCTTCAGTCCCGTGTGGATGAGCTCGCTGTAGAGCTGAAGAGCGCAGAGGAACGTCTGCAAGTGTTGCAATCCCGACCCAGCGTCTCTGGTGCCTCCACTGGAGCGCCCACCGAGGGCCAAGATGATGATGAGGGATCGGGCCTCACGCGAGAGCAGGAACTTGGCATCGAAGTTTCGGAGCTCAGACGTGATTTGGAGCTGGCCAAGGGCGAGCTCGAACATGCCAAGAATCTGGCAGAAGACTACCAGGCTATCAGTCAAGCCAGCGAAGAACGTCTAGAGTCTGCCACCGAGACACAGGACCAATACCGCGAGGAAACAGATCGCCTAGTTGAGGAGAAGAACACCAAGATCCAGGATCTTGAAACCCGGGTTGAAGAAATCTCTGCTGAGCTCGCCGCTTCCAACGCCGAGATGTCCAAGATCCGCGAGGAGCAAGCTGAGGCACAGCATCGTCTTGATGAACAAAAAGCCGACTTCGAGTCCGAGATCACACGCCTTAAAGATGACAATGAGCGACACGTTGCGGCTGCCCAATATCATCAGGAAGATTTGAAGGCTCAGGCTGAGATTGCCCAGCACGCCCAGCAAAACTACGAAACTGAGCTTGTGAAGCATGCCGAGGCCGCTAAGAACGTTCAAACCGTCCGCGCAGAGAGCAATCAACTGAGACTCGAGGTCGCCGAACTAAAGTCTCAATCGGAAACGTACAAAAGTGACTTAACTCAGAAGGAGACAAGTTGGGCAGAGCAACGAGCCACCTATGAGGGTGAGCTCTCTGAACTGTCCAAGCGCCGGGAGGAAGTACTTCGACAAAACTCTGTCTTGCATACTCAACTTGAAAACATCACTGGCCAAATCTCAGCTTTGCAGCGGGACCGAATGAATGTCCCAGACGAGCAAGATGAAGAGTCCACTGCCCCCAATCTTGAGGGACTCCAGGAGGTCATCAAGTTCTTGCGACGCGAGAAGGAAATCGTTGAGGTTCAATACCATCTTTCTACACAAGAAAGCAAGCGACTCAACCAACAGCTTGACTACACCCAGTCACAGCTTGACGAGAGTCGTCTAAAGCTTGAACAGCAACGCCGTGCGGCAGCGGACAGCGACCACAACGCCCTGAGTCACAACAAACTGCTAGAAACCATCAACGAACTTAATGTATTCCGCGAAAGCAATGCCACTCTTCGAAACCAGCTCAAGCAAACCGAAGCTGCGCGTGATGAGAAAATTGCTCGCGAGAACCAGCTTGTCCAGGAGATCGAACCTTACAAGGCTAAAATTCTCGAGCTAGAGAGTCAGCTTGAGGCTAAGGATGGAGAAATGCAACTTCTACAGGCCGACCGTGACCGCTACCAGCAGCGCATTCAGAACATTCTCCAGAAGTACGACCGTGTTGATCCTACCGAGATGCAAGAACTCAAGGACAAGCTCACCAGCCTTGAGACCGAACGTGATGAGGTAGTTGCCGAACGTGATAACCTCCAAAGTCAAATGGAGTCACTCCAAACCCAGATCGCAGGCTTCCCAGAGCAGCTTCAGCAACATGCTGATGAGCGACTGGGAGAACTGCGCTCTAGGCTCACCGAACAATTCAAGGCTCGCTCTAAAGACCTTAGTGCACGCAACAAGGCCAAGCAAGACGAATTGAATGTTGCATTGCAGGAGAAGGAAGTCATCCAGGCAGAACTTCAGGCCACCCAGCAGGAATTGGAGGAGCTGAAGTCTAAGATGGCCGAGGCGCCTGTCACAGCTGTGGCACCCACGGCATCGGCAGAGGATCCTGTTTCAGCCCCCGTTGAAACTGAAGCTGTCCCTGTCAACCCCACCCCTGCTTCTCAATTCCCAACAGCGACTGTTACGACCGTCGCTACTGGTGACGCCCAACTTGTCCAGGCCCTTGAGCAAAAGATCCAACGTCTTGAAGCCGCCCTTGCGGAGAAGGAAGGTCTGCTGGCCGCCCAGGCTGGCGAGCAAGATGCAAAGGTCAAGGAACGATCCGAACATCTCAAGGCAGTGTTCAACAACAAGTTGGCTGAGGTCAGGGCTGCCCATCGCCAAGAAATCGAGAAGTTGTCCGCCGGTGAACAGCCGGCTCCTGGAACCCCTGTGGCCGCTGCACCTGCGTCTGCCGAGGCACCCCCAGCAACACCATCGAAAACAGTTGAGCTTGCTGGCTTCTCCATTCCCAACCTGACTGATGCTCAAGCCAGAGAACTCGTTGCCAAACATGAGACAATTCGCACCATCGTCAGAAACAATATTCTGACTGGTATCAAGCGGGAGCGGGAGAAGGCACAGCAAGAGGCGCAGGCCACTAGTGGTGCCAATCAAGAAGCATTGACTGGGCTTGAACAAAAATCAACGGAGGAGAAGCAAGCCTTACAGCTTGCCCACGAGAACGATTTGAAAGAGAAGATTGCCTCTGCTCTCGGACTGGCTGAGAAGAAGACAGCTGCCCGCCTCAGTATGTTGGATACTCGGTTCCGAACAGCCAGTGCCAAGATCGAAGTCGTACAAAAGGCCGCGACAGAAACGCCCCAAAAGCCTGTCGTCGAGGTGTGGGAAGTCGCCAAGTCTGCCCGGCCTGTTCCTCCCCCAGTTGCTGCTGCTAAGCCAGTTGCACCAACCCCAGCACCTGTGGCTGCAACTCCAGCCGCACCAGCCCCCGAAGCGGCGCCGGTATCTCAAACCCCAGTGGCTGCCCCCGCACCCGCCCCGGTGCCAACACCCGCGGCTGAAACTGCCCCTGCTCCTGTAGCCCCCACAGCCCAGACAAGTCCCGCTGAGTTTCCCGCTCAAACAGGAGAGCAGCAGGCCAGTGCGCCTGTCAACCCATTCGGCCAGTCCCAACAGGCTGAGGGCCAGCAGTCTTCTCAGCTGCCCAGCAAACCACCTGGTGGAAACCACGTTGGAAACCCAGGTCTGATGCGAGCCCTCCAGTCCGGCCTACCTGTCGCAAGAGCCGGCCGTGGTGGCCGTGGCGGTGGCCAGCAATTTGGCCATGGCCAAGCACAGGGCCAACAAGCCGAGCAAAATCAGCAAGGTCAACAGGCGCACGCTCAACGTGGCGGAGCCCAACGTGGCCGTGGCCGTGGAGGCCAACCCCGTGGAGGAAACCAGCAGAATTTAAATGCTTCCGCGCGCCAGTTCATCCCCCAAGGCAATAAACGCTCCCGGGAAGATGGTTCAGATGCCCCATCTGATGCTAGCGGCGGAAAAAGGCAGCGTGGCGGTGGTGCCCAGCAAGCTCGTGGTGGAGGCTCGTCGTGAGCACTTTTCATGTTTATCCATTCCTATTCCATGATGTATTTTCAATTTCCTCAATGTCACATGGACCTAGATTTACCTTGTCATATCACTGGGTCCTCGTTTTCTTTTACGCGTGCGGAAGCATGGTCATCTCTTTTGTCATGTACTTAGTCAATGCCTGGCGTTTTATTTTGGGTGTCAACATTGTTTCAATCCATCTGTTCTCGTTTCGAGGTATTCCATGTATCCTCTCTAGACTACTTTTTATTTCAATTGATCATTGGAGGCAATGAGAGCTCCTGTGGCTTTATCTGCATATTTTACTAACAAGCCCACTCTCGCAGTAGCAGTTAAGCCCAACATTCAGCATCAGTCGAATGGTCTCCTAAAACCCCGAGATGCCAAGATCATAGTATCCACTAATTCGGCGATCTCGACCTCCGCAGTTTGGCGTCCGACGGGTTCGCATGGAGACGTTTGTACGGTTCATCCCTAACTATGGACAGTCGCATGTATCAATTGTCGAGGCAAATATCTAAAATGCGACGGTAATCCAGATGGTTGTGATCAATGTCGTGTTCTATCCAGCTTTTGTTACTTTGTGCCATCACGTCGCGGAAGCAAGCTTCCCAAGGACAGCCAAATCAACTTGCTAGCCTTTCTAGCTGTCAGGTCCCAATCGTCGAAGAGTATTTGTTCTTCGAAATTCCTTATATTTCTCAGAATCTTGAGCGGCCTACATACCCGGGCCTCCGCAGAGCATTCATTTGATCAAAGCATTCAATAGATGCTTCCACGCTGCACATCTGGGTCATTCGATCTATTTCAATAAGCAGCCGCCAGTATCCATTGATTCGCGCTTATTCCGTTGAGCACTGCTTCGAGTGGCGCAATGGGAAGTAGCCGAGGAGCAACTTTAGAGTTTCATCTATACAACCTCGGAACGTTAACTCAGATTCGGACATGAAAGCCGTTTTTGAGAGATCTCCCCTGAGCCCCTCACCGTTTGAAGTCAAACATGCCACAAGGGCTGCTCAAGTGGGTACGGAGTACTCCGCGAATCCCAGACCTTCAAGGTTAGGGCTCACCCCTTGCCGCGTTGTGATCAGTATCACGACCGAGTTGCCGTTCGCTCAGACAATTCCATGAAGCTTCAGGTTTCACGCATGATGAATTCTAAAGTTCGGGATGCCCAAGTGGATTAAGTCAATGCTCTATCAATGGTCTAACAAGAGTTATGTTCAACAAATTGACGGCATATATACTTAAGTACAAGCAGATAGTGGTTCAGGCGCAAATTTATAACTGGGGTATATGTGGGTGGCATTAATTACAATTATCCGACTATGCCATTGTTTAACCTGGCGAGTCTCGCATCCATGATACCATAACTGTGCTAGTATCAGAGACCGCTATTTTGGATCATCGCTGAATCCAGTTGCAATCAGCACCAGACTTCTGACGCCATTGCAGATCGTGTCGAAAGCCGAAAGCCTCTTGGGGAAGACCCTTTAGCGGGTGGAGGGCAGACCGGTGGAGCCAGTGGAGCCAGAGCCCATGGAGGGCATACCGGAAGAGCCAGAGGCTCCCTTAGAACCGCCCATAGAGCTGCCCATGGAAGACATGGCGGACATGTCAGGGAGGGGGTCCATGCAGAGAAGGTCCTGACCAGCCTGAATATATTGTTAGCTATTCGTTCATTGTAATGGTAAAGCGTTGGCAGTTGACAGGTCGGACATACAATAGGAATGGTGCAACACAGAGGGTGAACTGCGGGGGCACCACAGAGGCTCTTGAACTCGTCGAGGCTGGAGGGCTCCTTGGAGGGAGCCTTGCATTCAAAGGCGGCAACTCCAACGAGGCTTTCCTTGCAACATTGCATGTTGTTGTACATGCCAGTGGCGCAGGCAGTGTAAGAGGAGCGCTGCTGGAGCAGAGGGCTTGCGGAAGCGGTCAGGGCGCTAAGGGCGAAGAGGACGACGTTGCTGGCGTACATGATGAGAGTGGGTTGTACAAGTACGATTAAAATGAGTGTAAAGAGTGGGATAGAATGTGTAACGAATGTGGAATGAGTGTGTGAGAGACAATACAATTGTAGAGAGCCGGGTACAGTGTGCTTTAAACCCTTTTTCCTGACTACAATGAACTAACAAACTTGTTATTGTTGTGGGCTGAACTACGAGCTACTGTATGGAGTGCATCCGGAAATTAGCCAGTTCGTCGATCCACCAAGTATCCACTTAGGCACTCTAGACGTGAGTGAAAGAGGCAAGTGGAGAAATTACATCTTGTTTATTGGATTGAGCTACGATCAATAGCCGATATGCTTGGTTAGCTGGACCCTTAGCACTAATGAGAAGGTCTGAAAATCAAAATCAAGATTGTTTCTTAGCAGATCGAGTGGCCTGGGCCTTGGTTCAACCTAAATCTGCGAGTTTGATTAAGATCTACAGGGACCGGCATTGCCAGCTGAGCGACGAGTGAACTGTACAGTACTCTCTACTCTGTACTTCTGCTTTATACAAGTGATAAAAAGAGCTATCACACATTTCATCCCCCCACTCTGTACGGGGCACGAGCACGGGCTGTACTAGTGTCTAATGAGAGGAGCAATGTTTTTACCTGTTGGTTTGGAAGTCTTTTCTGTTGGCCAATTATCGTCATTGTTCAAAGCATAGAAAGCGAGACATGCATCTCTTGTGTGAGACAACAGTGATGAACTATTGAGACTTCAGATGTACGCCTTAGCCCTCAGCTACGAGTAGGGAGTATGAGTAATCGCAGGACTCCATGCATGACAGATAGTTTTGTTAGAACAGTATCCCCACCTTACACTCCACTTACTAGCCTTTCTACACGAGTGAGAGTCCTCCGTACGCACGGGGCCGTTCTAGCCGGAAGGGTTGACCCCGTGTGCTATCAACTCATGGACAAGATCGTGGACGCCTCCAGCTATGTAGCCCCGAGTACTCTGGACTCTGGACTCCATACAACGACAACCCAATTGGACATGTCTTATAGGTACATGAATGTAACATGGGATATCCCTAGGTCTTTTTCTGAATTCACAGCAACTGTCTCAGCATCATTTATTAAAGCTAAATCAATGCAATAGGAGCATTGATAGAACCTGGGAGTTTTCCTGAATATTATAGTTCCCAGATTTCGTACTGTGTACTCCGTCCTCCATATACGATGCCTTCAGCCAAAAATCCAGCGGACGTGCTCGGTTTGAATAGGGTCCAAACGCGACAAGGGCCCCCCTAGCGTGGCTTGGAGTCCGGGGTGTATGCACTAGATTGACGGACCTTGCTGCCAAAGATGTAGAAGATCCATGGCAGAAAGGCAAATGCGACCGCTAGGAATCCAAGCAAGCTTGATGCCCATTCGTAGCCAAGGTTCTTGTACACTGAAGATGCTATTAGAGAGGTACGCAGAGGGACCAGATAAATTGACATACTCGGAATCGTGAATAAGGGAAATGAGCCACCAACGAGATATCGCAGTAGCCCGTTGGCCGCGAGGGCCGATGCTCCAGATTTGGCACCGTAGACGTTGGTCAAGTAGAGCATTGTCGAGACCTAAGATGCGATACTGTCAACTATATGATCAGTGCCTTTGCGCGCAGACAACTCACGAAGACTAGAATGTTGGAGAACCCAAACAAGCCCGTCGCCACAATGCTGCTCATCCAATGAATTCCCGGCCGGGCAGTCCAAGCAAACCAGAACAACGAGGCTGCCATAAAAGGTCCTCCTATCATTGCGCCCCATAGCATTCGCTCGGGTGGGGGTGTGGCAGAGTTGAATTTCCGAACATGGCGCTTCAGAGTAAAGGAGTCCAAGAGGACTAGAACGAGACCCCCAAAAACGCATCCCACCGCAATGCCAATCAACACCAGCCCACTCTCTCCCGGTGTAAAGTTGTACGTTGTCTCGAAAATTAGCGGAATACACGCCAAAAAGCAAAACAGGATGGAGAAATTCAGAGAAGAATAGAGTGAGCAGAGTAGCACAATGGGCTCACGGATTAGCATATAAAGCGGTCTCACCATGGTGACCGTAAACAAAATGCGGAGCCCAGCTAGGCCAGTGGGAATCGGAGCAGGAGGTACCGGGAGTCCAAGTTTCTGGGCCTTACGACGCATCAGAGGAGCAGCATAAGTCTCCTTCGCGCCCAGTGCGAATATCCAGACGCCCGCGCCGAGAAACAATGTAGTCCACAGTGACCATTGCCAGTTCTTATACTGGGCAATCCAGCCTCCAACCAGTTCGCCAAGTGCTGGTCCCAGAAAGGCAATGGTCATGATCAGGACCACACCGCGGTTGGTATTTGGTCCCGTCCACATGTCCATGATGGTCCCCGCACCAACCGCCAGTGGTGCAGAGATAGTGACACCGGCTAATAGTCGACATATAGCGAGTGCTGCGATGTTATTCGCGAAGCTAGCGCCAAGTATGAAAAGCAATGCGATTGGGGTCACGAAGACGTAAATGAATCTTCGCCCGAATGTTTCACTCAGTGGTGCCGAAACTGCCGGACCAAATGCGAGGCCGTATACATATAGCGTGAAGGGGAGAAGGGCCAACGTGGAGCTGATTTGAAAGTCCTCCTGGGCGCTAGTGTGAGAAGGGGAGTAAATTGCGAGCCCGAATGATCTGTGAAAACCATCTCATTGTTAGCAGAACTTGTGTGAAGATTGGGAGAGGACTTGCGTACATCAAAAAGCAAAGCAACGCGGGGACGGCGGTATTATAGAGCTTTTTGGATGTCGACCAATTCTTTGCATTGTCAGGGTCATTTGCCCAATCCAGATCCTTGGGCGTCTGTTCTGTTGGTTCGGGCATTTCCTAAGGTCGATTGAATATTTTCCAGTAACCTGAGCTACCATCTCTGCCACTAAATAGTTCAAGCCCCCGGATAAGTCGGCCATATGATCTGTATTTTCTCATCGGCGACCACGATGGCATTTGTCTGGGGTTTACAGAGGCCAAGTTCGAGGTGGATCTCATGGACCCACTAATTCGGCGAGCTGACGGGGTCCGTTTAGGGCTTCACGGAAGTACTAGGACACTCGATCAGACCTAAAAACGAAGAAGAGAAGACAGTGGTATAAAGTCATCGCATGTTATCACAGATGCCCTGTGCCTGCAGGCATGTGGTGGCAGATAGGTATATCTGTCACTCTCAACTTCTCTGGCTTTTGCCTCACTCGTCTCGCATATTCGTCTTCCTCAGAGTCAGATGTCATGTGACCATTCTCAAATAAGCAAAACCAATCCGCAGACGGTCCTTCTATAGTTGGTGTTTTACATTTCATAGAGCCTCCAGTGTGTTCTGCGATTCAGGGCTACGCGTGGGGGCGCTCATGATCTTCCGGGGCATCGAATTCCGGGGTCTTGCCGTATGGCACCCAAGCAGCCTTCATCCACAAGTTTTAGTGGGCCATGACAATGATTCATCTGCGCCGTATGTACATTCACAGATTGCTGGCGAGGGTTTTATCCTCGTAATGTCACACTGCGTATAGAGTATTCAAATTCAGTAACTGGCGTATCATTTTCAATGTAAGGTATTGCCAGCAATCGCAACAAGCCGGGGGTATCAACTAAAAGATCAAATTCACAAGATCACTTCTTCTTGACAGGAACAAGCATTCTCCCAAGAACCTCCCTCTCCTTCTGCAAGACCATCAACCTAGCATCCTCAATGACCTTGCCCGCCGGCGCCGGCGCCGGGATAGCCGTCTGTGCGATCCTCGCTGCATCTAAAACAGCTGGACTCATTGGTTTGAGACCGCGTGCCCTCTTCCTCCGCATGCCAGGTCCACTTCCCCAAACAACAAACCATTCACCCACTCTCCCCGTAATCTCACACGTAGAGCCCACTTTCGCATGAGACCCGATATCCGCCCCGCGCCGAATGATCGCCAGGGCCTCAATTGTTGCAGAGGAGTGAATATGCACCCCTGGCTCAATGGTACTGGACGGGCCAATGGTGACGAAGTATGAGATGCGAGTTGTGGATTCTTTGGGCGATGGTTCGGCGTCTCTCGACGGCTGTGGTGAGGATGATCGGCTTGATGAGGGCGGCGGTGCGCCAATCACGGCTTTTTCGCAAATGATGCAACCATCGCCGACTACAATCGGTCCTTCGTAGGTGTAGAACTTTGCGCGTGGGTGGATGACTGTTCCTGCGCCAATGGTCACGGGGTACGGTCCTTGGAAGACGACATTGTCTGCGATTGTTGCGGTGGAGTCGGCTTTCAGAGGCGCTTTCGGTGGACCAGAGCTGGAGGAGCGGTGTGTGTTTGTAGGTGGCTTGAGAGTTGCCATTGTGGATTGTGTTTGGGAGATCGTGAATATGGGGGAGCTCCTGTTCTGGAGCTGTCGCTTGCCGCTTTTGGGGATTTGTCAGCCTCACTCAAGCAGCCATGGATCTAGGCCAGATATGGAAATGACAGAACAGGAAGTCCAGGATTCAGCAGTTCAAATGTTTCTCTTTCAACACCGAAGGCTTCATTGATGTTCACGAAGTCATTCAGCTCTTCAGGCACAAATATATATATGCCCAAATATCTGGCCAACTTCACTATTTTAATACAGCAAATTTTCCCAAGATGGTCCAAAGTCTTCAATCGAATTTCGACCAACTGGGAGTCTCCATCATATTAACACCAAGACAAAATGTGCTGTTCTATTACAATCTCGCAAACTCTGACGGTTACCGCTCATTCAAAATCTATCTCTTATCTATCGTCCTTGAAGCACATTTGATCATTTTCGACATTCATCGCAGCAGCAACGGTGATGTTAGGAACAATTCCAGCCATCCACATGTTGTGATGAAGGGTGGTCACATTGCCTGTATCTCCAAAGTAAGGTATGAACGCATCAGGACCCAGTGAAGCTGGCTGGGCATCTCCGAATGGAGTTTGAGGCCCGACACGAGGACCTCCCATGGCGGTCAATCGCCTAGTGTCTCTCGATTGCCACTCAGTCCACAGGCGATCAAGGTTGGCATGGTGCAAAAAGAATATCGGATCGAATGCCGACTTTGAAACATGTCTCATCTTTACTTGAACCACGTGAATCAGCTATACACCCAAGGAAAGAGTGCCCCAAACCACTCACCGTCCCACCAACACCGAAGTGACCTCCTATGTGGGGAGCAGTTCCGAGGCAACCCCACATCTCCCAGTAGTCATCGATATCCATACAGCTGTCGACGATGTCTTGTGAGACCGAATCAAAGTGGGCTTGATTGAAGATGCGCCTCAGGCAAGTCCCGGTGGCCTGCGTGAGGTTGGTGGTCAAGCTGAATTTGATATTTGCAAATGCTCCATCGACAACACAGTCGTTCTCATCGGTATCACCTGTACCAAAACCACTCTCTGGGTTGGTACTCCAGACACTGGCATTCTGAAGAGGAACGGAGGCCTGGTCGGCCTGCTCATCCCAATATCTGTGAAGTATGTCAAAGCTTACACTTCAATCAAAATTCTACCGGTTCTTACGGGTATGCGCCAGTGTAGCCACACTCATTCCGAAGAAGATCCTCGTGGACTTTAGTGTACCACCGATGCCATGGGAAAAATGCGCCCTATAAACCAAGGATGAGCTGGTCCCACAATATTGATAATGATGAGCGAGGGACTTGCAGTCACATGGATATATTGAACCTGGGCCATATGGGAAACAAGTAACTCCTCCCATCGGCTCTTTGATCCGTATGTTCCCGTCTTTGCAGGTGCGGTGTCGGGATTCATCAAACACAGCGTTGAGCTGATATATTCGGTTTGCTCACCAAGGCTGAGAGACGACCTATACATCGTGTTAGATGCTTAAGTACCAAGTAGAGTGGATCTATCGGCTCCCTCCTGAATTCCAGAGCTGAGAGCATAGGCTTACCATGACTTTCGGATACTTGGTTTCTCGCACACTGCCAATGCGGTTGATGCCATAGACAGAGTCACGGCCATGATGGAGATGAAGGTTCCCGAAAATCTCCCCATGTCGAACAAGAGGATTTTCCGACGTCCACTGGTATCTTTCGGGTGAAATAAAGAGCGGAAACTTTTTAATGGAAAATTGGTGATATTTAGCCATAAGTATAGAAGAGATACTCCGAGACTGTGCATCTCACCTAGTAATCGATCGATCTGTTCATCAATCAAGATATCCGCAATGGTAGATTATAACGGAGGGTTGCCGAGACTAATAAATGCCATTGATGGATCATCTATCATGGATGTTAATGCTTGAATCCTTCCACAGGTTAGGAGAACGCACCGTGAAACTGACATTAGGTTAGATGGCTATGTGGGCCACACATGTGCAACGATCTAACTTTAATGTCGTCGGGCTCCGAAGCAGCACCAGTAATCTCAGGAAGTTAACAAAATATTACTTGGGCTGTAGATTTTGCATGTTGCCACGGCTGTCGGAAGTCAGCAACAGCAAGCCTCCCTTTAGGGTTGTCTGATGACTGATACGAAGTGTAACAGGGTAAATCCCAGCGGATTTAGCAACAAACCGGCCTTGGAGATCAACACCCGTCACCTGGGTAGCTGGCACCTGGGGGAATCAAGATTCAGGCGGTCTGTTCATAAAGATCTATATCATTCTATGGAAGTCCCCACTCATCCAACGTTTAAGTACAGCGAATAATCCATGGATAAGAACCATCACCAAACAAGGATACACCTTGAGCAAGTACCAAGATCCGGTGCTTGTAGACAATCCTCCGCGCGTTGCATGCTCCTGGATACCTCGGATTCCTTTTATCTACGGCGAATCAATCGGTCGTCGAGTCCTTCAATTGGAAAGAATCCAGGCAATTGCTTCACGCGCTCAATCCAGGCTAAAACCTGGGGGTATGGCTGCAGCGATATATCCCCCATTGGTGCAAGGGCAATGTAAACAAACACACTGATGTCTGCAATGGTAGGGCGATCAAGGGCAAGCCAGTTGTTATCCGTCAAATGTTGGTTCAGGACCTTGAGAGAATGATTTCCTCGAATGGCACCTTCTTCAAGGAATACGTCCAGCTTCTCCTGGGGCCACTTTTGATTGTTGCCTAGACCATTATAAGGTCCGTTGTAAGATAAAATGGCGCGGTTGGTGAAAACGCCTACATAGATGTCAGAGGCGTACTGGGATGTAGTCATATGTTTGGGATACTTACCATACTGCACCCAACTGTTGGCAAAAGAAAGCTGTGTCGAACCATTACTATTTGTTGCTTCCACAAGTGAGCTATGATTCCCATACCCAGTTTACAATCTGAGACTGTTCATAAAGGTCACTGGACCAGAACGAAGATGGTCCCTTGTCTTCACCCTGGTCATTCCATTTTCCAGCCAGCCAGACGAGGATTGAACTTGAGTCGTTGAATTTCTTCTCGCCATCCACTAGAGTGGGGACCTCGCCTCGCGGGTTTATCTTGAGATATTCTGGCGAGTGTTGCTGATCAGCCTGGAAGTTTCTAGTTAGCTCGGTACCACTAATCACTGGGGTTCACATTACCAAGAAGTCAAGTTCCTGGTGGTCAAGTTTAATGTGGAGAAAAGCTTCAAGGAGCCGAACTTTGTAACTGTTTCCAGATCCGGAGAAGGTATAAAGAGTTCCTGCAGACATTTTGTTTCTAGATTTTATCTTCCGAGGTAACAGCAGCTCTAGAGACTCCCAGGTTGCTCAAGCGGGGTAGAGAGCTTGTTTTATACGTACATCCTAAGGACCCCAAGGGACCAGAAATATAATCTTGGAAGATATCACGCCATGCAAATCGCCACGTACGAGCGAACGATAGGCCACGCAGTACAGTCTTCTAAAGTTATGGCGATTGTACAACCATTCAACTCAATAGCGTCAACTCCGTAGATCATCGATAGACAAACCCACTTGCAGTCTCAGGGCTAACATTACAAGCATACTGATCTACATTGGAAGCAGCGCACAAAGTTTTGATGCCACCAACACCGGAACTTGCTCAGCATCATGTAGAATGTATGCTTATCTATCGTTCTAAAGTTTCTATCCATTGAGTATTTGGTTTCGTCCCCTGTCTTGCAGCTCAACTATATACACATTTCATAAGGGTATCTTAGGTCGTTCAATACAATACATCCATCATCACTCCTCAGTCTCTCGCTTGATACCATTTCTCTTTCTCCAAGCCCTCACACCTCGGTCGACCTCCTCTCGCGTCATACCATCCCGCACCAAGCAGAAGGTAACTCCCAACTCCGTTTCCACATTTCGGTTACGCGCCTCGTCATCGAAAAACAACATATCATCATAGGCAATCTCACTCGTCTGGTGAATCTTCGCGAAATGCGAAGTCTTGTTCCCAGGGTAAATCTGAATGTGATCAAAGTAATCCAGGGCACGTACGGTCTTCGCGTTGGCAGCAGGGTTGTCGGAAAAGGTAGGGATGATATGAAGGGCTTTGAGCACGTCGCGCGCAAGATCCGGGGCTGATGTTCGCGAGGCAAGCGCGAGAGGAATTGATCGGTGCTTGCAAGCGTGCACGATCGATGAGACTGCGGGGTAGAAGGCGAACGATTCGCCCCATCTGGGAGAGTTAGATTGCATCGCGAATCGAGGACAAGGAAGGTGAAATTTACCGGTCCACAACTCGAGAGTTGTTATCGCGTGATTTTACAGGGGCGCTGACGTGCGTGTCAACCCAGAAAGGCCACAGAGTGTAATCCAGATCAAAAGCGATCAGCTTTGGAAGTGGAAGGCCATCTGTGAAGGTTTCTGGGGCCACAGAGGCATCTTCAAGAGGCTGAGTGTTTTGGCGCTTTGCTCGCATGATTGGAGAATTCTAGAAGCGATCGAATGAATATCGAAGAAGCGAAGAAGAAAAAGAAGGAGATGAACCATGGAGAGAGCGTGGCGACGGAGCGCCAAGACACGATTGCGGCCACTTGGAAACAAGCCTTATCTCAACTGCGTCATAGAGCAAGCTTGAGATCCTCGGTACTTACAGTCGTCTTGGCGATGAACTTGACAGTTTCAATAGCATATCACATTCATAATTATCAAGATCTCATCTGCCAACATAGGCCTCTGGTATGGTATATAGAATAAGACAAATGGGCTGCCCACAAGGTGCACCGGCCATTCCACAATCCAGTCAAGAATTATGATCTAAATCATAATGCCGTGTCAAATCCCCAGTAATCCGACTAACTCTGCCTAAATAAAGTCAACAATATTCTTGAATTCCTCAATCATATCGATATCATCGCGGAGCCATTCTGCATTCAAGTCAAACCAAGTGCGAGGCACCGGAAGACCAGAGTCCTTGGGATCAAGTGGAGCTTCTTCGGAATCTGGAGCCTCTGCAGACTGCACTCGGAAAGGAGTGACAAAGGGGTTGCGTTTGAATCGTTTAGTGGTCTGGTTCTCATCTTGGCTGGCTTTTCGTTTCATATCGTCGGACCTTTCTTCGGCTGGAACTTGGAGTGTGTTTTGCCCAGTAGCTGTTGGTTCGAGCAACTCAACCGAGCTCAGTGTAGCCTTTGGGGGTGTATCATCTGAAATTTCAATTATCTCATGCTCGTCGGGAGTCGTTCGCTTGCTTGGTTTAGCTTGATGAAGCTGAGATCTGTCAGTGGGATGGACAGTGCTTTTGATTCGGCCCTTTTCGGTGTCAGAAGAAGTGAAGGCTGTTCCCTTTTCTGGGGCATTTCTTGCTGAGGATTCCCCCCCTTTTGCGAGATTCTTCCTGACGTTGACCAGAAGCGTCGACGGGGATGGCAAATCGTCGAAGCTGTCGTCGCCATAATCACTAGATAGTGGTTTCACGGGGGGTTCTTTTCTCTTTGCCAGAACTACATTCTTGTCTTTTTCCACAAGAGCGAGTCTTCCTTGCGCCGATGCCTTTTTCTTAGGTTGCGGTGTTGAGCTGTTGGGTTTCGAACCACCGAGAGCATTTTTGGGATCGACTTTGACTTTCTTGGTGGCCAAACTTCCCTTGTTAGATGCATTTGCTGCAGTTTTGGTGATGCTGGTGGGGATAGTCAGCTGATTGAGACCATCCTCTTTCTGCGTTTTTGGAGCAGCCCGTTTTTTTGGCTTTGGAGGAGGTTTATCCAAACCTTCCCGACAACAGAAATGTTTGCAGCTGTCATAGTTAGCTCGATCACGAGCTCGAAAAAGAAAGGAAAAGAAAAACTTAACAAACCTGGTCTTGTCATTGCATTTGTGATTGCAAGCCCACTTCCCATTTGCAAGTCTGGTCGGTTCATATTCCTCCTCATCCTGCTCGTCCATTTCTGAAGCCCAGTTCTCTCCATGGGAGACGTAGGATTTTGAGGCTTTGGTGCTTATTTTGGGCGGACTTGGACTGCTAGCAGCAATTGAGAGCCAGTCTGTATCATCGAATTGCAGAGGCTGTCGGTGACAAGAGTCCATTGTTTTCTTGTGGTGATCCTGAACGTTGAGGAAATCATCGATCTGCAAGTCATCTCCATCAAAGTCGTCCAAATCTTGACAACCCTGGTTCACATCTCTGGTTTCTCTGCGGAGGCGTGAATGAGGGGCTGTTGGGGTCCCAGGCTTGTTGATTGCAGTAAAACCTTGGATCGAATGGACTACTTGGTCTTTCGTGTTTGATATGGCGGCTGTAGCAGCGCTGCCAATCCTAACATTGATTGACTTCATTGTATTGTGGGCATCAGAATCCTTCTTTTGCAGAGTAGCAAAGGCGTGCGCGGGTAAGTCTGGTAGAAGCTCGGCTTTTCGCGATGTCCCAGCTACCCCATCATAAGTCAGCAGCCATAATACTATCATCTTCAGGGGGAGTTACCAATTTCATCACACATGACATGACACAGAATCGTTTCATCCGCACTCGTGAGTTGTGCACTGAGTTCGATCTTCAGACCATTCTGCATCCTATTTGCACTTTCGATGTCATCAGCTCCAAGTATATGAGTACTGGATACTGAACATCAACTTACCTCATGCGTCTGAAATCAATCATATGACCATCCGATCTTTCAGTCATACAGCAAACATGAACCGGCTTGCGTAGAAACATCGTCGGGGTCTTATCATTCATGAACGCAAGTTCAACCCCGAAATGAATGTTGACGCAATCGACTTTCACATCCTGTATTTGATCAGCAGCTATTAGATGACTCAGTCTCAAACACGAACCTTCTTTATCATTTTAACAGCAACCCAGAGTTTCGGGAATTCCTTTAGTCGCGCAAGCAGTTTCGAACCGAAAGGAGGGTTCTTGCTAAGGGCCACTTCGATCTGGTGCGCTTCTGTGCATTCAAGACCCTCGATGCTTGTGATTCCCGCAGCAGCGAGTTTTCGTACTGCCACGACCCCAATCTGATCAAGCTGCTTCATTTGCAAAGGCGAGTGATCCCAGACTTTTGCACCCAGGCTGCGAGCTAATTCAAGCGAACTGCATATGCTGGTTGAGTCACTGCGAGCGATTTGGCAGTCAATGAGACATCGTATCAGTCGATTCACGTGTGCGAATACGATTCCCTTGTCTTGGTTGAATGTGAACTTGTGCTTTTGGAGTCCCTCGGCGTCGGGGAACTCGATGGCTCCCAATTCTGATTGAATCAGAAGGGAAACTTTATGGGTTGGCAAGGCTAGGTCGACATTGATTGGGAAACGGATGCCAGTGTCACGGTTGATTTCTCTGTAGAGAGACTTTTCGTTAGCCTTGAGTCGAACTTCATGAAACTCAGAGGCTAGTGAGATTGCGTTAAGCTAAGTAGAAAAAAGAGTCAGCTGGGATTTGATGGGGTGGGTGGGAGAGCTGACAGTTTCATGGAGCGTTGCCTTTGATTTAAGCGACAGCAACGCTTTCATCGTTTCAAATCGGATATAATAACGAGCCATGGCCTCGCCAGCTTGAGTTGAGCAGAGAGACTCGGTCTTAATCAATCCACATTCTCGAAGCATGTTGATGTCTTTCTCACAGATCTGACGCAGCATTTCGTCCTCGTCTTCTTGCTTCGCGCCTTCTTTCAAATTATAGTGCGTCGGGTTTCGGCGAAGTCTCACAAACAAGAATGTTCCAGCCAGCCACTTAACAGCTGACTGGACATCGCAGACATTACCCAGCCCTATCTCTGCATTGAGATGGTCGATCAGGTTCAAATGGAGACAACTCTCCAAACTTTCAGACCCCTGCACCAATTTCTCGTAATGTGCAACACGGTCCTTCTTTGTGAGGATAACTGCTGTCGCACTATCGTCAAACTGGGGCCTCCCCGCGCGGCCAAGCATTTGCATCATTTCTAGGTCAGAGTACTCTTTGCATCTGCCATCCTGCCAACCGACAGTGTTTTTGATAATTACCAGGTGACATGGTAGATTCACACCGACGGCAAGCGTTGATGTGCAACAAATCACGCTGATATGTCCTTCCTTGAAGCCCATCTCAACAGTATGGCGATCTGCGGGTCCTAAACCTGCATGGTGAAATGCCACCCCGGCAGCCAGTGACGCTGTTTTATCATCAGCAGTTTTCCATGGGCACCACGTAAGTAAGATCACTCACTCTTGAGCTCTTCATTGCTCGCGTCAAGATGCTTCTGGGGTCCCTTCCAAAGCCGGGATGGAGGATTGGTCAACGTCCAAAGACGAGCTAGCTCCTTCGCCGTCGTAAGCGATGAGTTTCGAGTACAGCAGAAGACCATAATTGGTTTCTGTGCCGAGTGCTGTTCAATAACCTCTGGCAGCCTAAACATCTCATCAGATTCTTGAATCTCAAACAGATAGGGCATTGCATACTTCGACCCGCAGAATTTATCGAACGCAAAGTCATTCAAACTGGACGGGTACCCATAGACCACCTTCTTCAAGGTAACGGGACGAAACTCTTCACCGAAATGCTCTCGGTGTGCAGGAACATGCTGGTTGGTTGCATCTTTCCCCAGCCAGGTCGCAATATCTTCAGAGTTGGGAACGGTGGCACTCAGTGCCACGAATCGCACATTTGATCCAATGTTTTTCATTCTCGAAACAACGGCCTCGAGAGTTGCGCCACGCGTCTCCTTCAGAATATGGACCTCGTCAATGAGGAAGAGCTTGACCAGTTGCATCAGTTTCATATGATCTTTCCACTTGCGAGTCATGCTGTCCCACTTCTCTGGTGTTGTAATGATTATTTGGCTACTCTGCACACTTCGCAACTGCATGTGATCCGTGTCCCCAGTTAATTCGGCACATTTGAGATTCAGGATTGAGAATTTGCAGTGCCAGTCTCGGAAGCGCTCGCTGCAAAGGGACTTGGTGGGCGCTTGATAGACGACTTTGAATCGCTCGTCTTTGAGAATGTTAAGGAGTCTGCAAATAGCTAGCTCCATTATCACTGTCTTTCCGCTTCCTGTTGGTGCAGAGATCACGATGTTGTCGTTGCTGTTATAGACGGATTGAAAAGACTTGGACTGGATGGCATTAAAGAGTGGGAAGGGAAACATAGCGCGGTATGTTTCTGGTAGGTCGTTCACTGAGACAAGAACAATACCCCGTATGGAAGGTGGGATACTGCTGAATATTCCCTCGGTTCTCTTTGCCGTCACAACAGCACGATTTGCTTGAGTCGAGAACGGAGGCGAGGACTGATCTTCGTTGTATGGCCCACGGTTGACATCGAGGTATTGCTGTTCCAGTTGGGCTTGGCTTGGTTTTGGGCGAAAGAAAGACAGAGGACTAGATGAAAGCCCCAATACGGGGTCTGAAGAGCTGGGTCCACTGCTACGGCGAGGCGTAATGCTCGAGCTGGCTATTGCTTGTTAGGTCCGATTCAACCGGGATGTCAGATAAGAAGTGGGAGCAGCTTACAGCCAAAGAAACGAGAGAGTTGTGGGGGCTGTGTATTCGACTGGTTTGGGCTCTGAAATTCAGTCGATCCGGAAAGGCCGAGCCCAGAATCTCGAGTTACATCTTCTCTGTCCTCTGAAGCGAGCAGCTCCAGGTCTGTGTTTGGTCAGTACATGTTGAAGTGGCAGAATGACGGACTCACCGAACGCATCTAACTGGGCATCGTATTCATCACGATGAGACATAGATGGGAGCCTGTTTGATGGGTTCTCTGGTGATGGACTATAGCGTGGCTGTTGGGAGCCCACGATGAGTCTCTGATCGATGACACCAGTTCTGCTACTAGATGGAGAAGAATGATTTGGGGCACTAGAGCGCCTTGAGGGTAATTGAAAGGGTTTAAAGCTAGATCTTTGGTTGTTTTTTCTCATGATGAAATGATGTGTGTTATTGAGAGCTGAGGGCGGCGATGGGATCCAACTAAGTCGAAGTTTGGAACCCGTGACGGCACGTGGACCAAGCAGGATTATTTTCTGCGCTCAGTATTGTACTGTGTCTTTCACAGCTTAGAGGGTCAACCAATTTTGTGTATTCGGGGTATATCAAAGTGTTTCATTGCTTCGTATATATGCATACATGAGCCGTAGAGCAGCCATCCGAGCGGGTGTGCAAAATGAAGTAGCAAGCAGCCCGCCCCAAATCATGAGGAGCAACAGCGAGGAATGTTACAAAGGGTTGCGGTGGTGGAAGCGGAATCCGTATCTATCAGGTATCCAATATCATTTCCCGTAAGGCGTGCCGATAAACAAGCGCCGGGCGCAGCAGAGACGTATGAGTGCAATCATTTCTCGTCAAAATATCCAGTCGCACTGGCGTTCCGACTGGAGCTTACTCTCGTGTGGCCTGCCGCTGGAGAGGCAGGTCGAGACGATGATATACCGTCTGAGAGGAACGGAGTTGTTGGCAATTTGATAGAAATCTCGTTCGGTGGTGCTACTGGTGAACCTTCGGGGCCTGCAGCATCCTTTTCATAGGCATCAATGCGAATTGGAGGTGGACGGATTCCATGGTTGTAGGTAGGATTTCCATAGTAGTGTGTTGCGACCAGCACGGCGGCCGAGCCGAAGATGAACTGTATGTCTTGGTTAGGTTTTATCAATGGGAGGGTAAGAAATCAAGGAACGAGCATGCAAGGGACATACGCTTGCGTTAACTTCAAAGTCAAAGAGCCAGACGCTTGCCACGGTGGTCAAGATGATGTTCGTTGTTGTCGCCAGACTCCTTGCATCTTTCTGTGCATGGCTAGCATAGAACGCCGACGCGATCCCACCCAAGCCCTGTATCACGATGGCAGACCACACCGCCCAGTTGTAGCCCTGGAAGAACCCGTCCTCGGCGATTTTCTCACCGTCCCGGAAGACAACTCCAATAAAAAGAGCAGGGAAAACCGAGTAGACCGCCAACTGCACGTTCCGCACCCACAACGAAATGTGTTTTGAGCTGTCTTTGAGAACCTTTTCGAAGTAGATACTCGCTAGTCCGGATGCCACTGACGCCCCGATGGTTGCAAGAAGGCCAATTGTGGGGTTCAGATGCGGGTCTGCCGTCGATAGATCCTCCTCGATTCCTTCATAAGTTGCGGACCGCTTTTGCAACCCGGATGCTTGCTTGGCTGCCTTCCATTCTTCCAGCGATCGAGGGAAGTGACGGTTTGCATCGTCCTTCAGAATTTGCTCCGAGCTTACATCGGGCATTTGCACCAGTGCGACGCCCACCACTAGTAGCAACAACAGGCCCCACTTCCGGGCGGGGATACTCCGTCTCAATAGCATCAACCCAAATACCGCGGTGGCCAAGAACTTCAGCTGGAATGTCACTTGGAAGGTTGCAGCTTGCAGGTTCGACAGCGCGATGTAAAGAAGGGAATTGGACAGCACCTCCAAGCTAGCGGGGATCGCTAGCTTCCAGCTGTCGCCTGAGAACACGGCACTTGTGAGAGAGAAGAAGAGAGACGTGGCTGGCATGGAGGGAGGTGCGGTTTTAGAGACGTCATAGAGCGCCATGGTGAGGGATATGGCTAGCTTGACCACTTCGACTAGGAAGACTGCCGTGGAGGTCAGGTATCGTTTACCACCAGCCGGTGGCATGACTCGAGAATAGTGGGCTAGCTGGAGCGCAAGAAAGAGATTAGCCATTGTTGCGGAGGTGTGTATGAGGGAGGCACTTACCAACACAAAAGCGCTTGACTCGGCAGTCAGCTGCAATTTCGTCCAAGTCAGCTCATCAGATCCCTCAGTTATACCCATGCAGCGTCCTTGGTGTTCATATCCGTACCAGAATCCACGGCGCCGTGTTGGTGGCCACTCGTAGCCCCGAGGGCTGGCGTGCACGATCGCTCATGTCGAAAGGCGTATGGTAATGAGATCGTAGTATGGGACACAGTAGTGCCCAGCGTCACAAGTGTGGAATAAGAGAGAGTGACAAAAGGTGAGAAGGGGAAGGTCGTCGCAAACCAGGGGGCCTCTGTAGATCTCGGCCAGAGCTCGGGACGATCACGGGTAGACCAACCCTATACCAGAGTGACTCGAAGACTTGGACAAAAAAGGAAAAGATGAAACCTCCCAGGAAACCGGAAACCAAGGAAACCAAAGAAGCCAAAGAACCTAGAGACCAGAAACCAGTGGTCAATCAAAAAAGGAAGTGAATCTGGGGTTGGGCGGTGTATCACGGGCCCAGAACCTGTGAACCGTGGCACTTTAGTCGCGGTGGGTTCCGATGACGTTGTGCAATTCATCTTCCGATTTACTACTTGTAAACTGGTCTTGATATCTCAATCCGTTTCAGGCTGCTCTGCAGATTGCACTGCGCCTCGATCTAGCTGGCTGCCAGCCCTGGTTTGGTCCTTGGGCTTGCATGGATCAGCCACACTGAACCGGGTTGGGCTTAAATGTGCTACAGTGTCCCACGAAGTACCAAGTGGATACCTGAGCTCTTTCAGGACCTCTTGTGCCTCAATTCCATCAATTGGCGATCGCTCAGTCTTGTTTTTCCTATCACGGTTTTCCAATGATGAATGGGCCATGTATTCCATTGAATGAAACCGGCTGTCGAGACTCAAAATCCTTGCGTCTATGACTTCATTGTATACTCTGGATGGAGTACACGCGTTTACCTTGAAACATCCGTTCATTAGTCGGGCGCAACACACCGTACTATCAACATTACGTGGAAATAGACAATTTTCGACCAATATCAATTGATCATTGGATGTATTATGTGGTAGTAACATGAGCCCGAAAAAAAAAAAAAGAAGATACTTTGACAAATAACAAGATGGCAGCCATCCATGTACGGGGAAAGAAGCCCGTGAAACGCTAAATTCACAATGTAAAGAAATATGAGGGGCGTGTGGACATAAGTAAGAGGGTCATAGGGGAATAAGAAGACAGTGTCTATGTGGAGAAAGCTCAGGGCGATAGCCTGAGATGCAAGTGACAACAGAAAAAGGAAAGGCCTTGGAGGCAGTGGACATGAATCGACAGGAATACAAGGAAGGGAAGGGAATATGAAGTGAATGTCGTTTAGTGGACCGTGGCAATTTTGCTGCGTTCCTGGTTCCAGTCGAAATCAAAGGACCAAAGGGGAAGATTGCGCTTCGGCTCGACACCGTCAATCATAATAGCCTCACTGCTATCTGTGCGGCGGCGGGTGTGCTGCTTTTGATCTTCTGGGATGGCGGGGGGAGGACCTCTTGGGGGAGGCTTGGGAGAAGGGAGAGGTGAAAACCGATGGATCGGCAGTGTGGGTGTTAGCGGTGAGGCAGCGCTGGTGGCGGGTGAGGGCAGGCTTTCGGAGTAGTCAGCGCTGAAGCCGGGGGAGGAAAGAGCAGCTTCGGCTTTTTGCTCGGAGTCGGAGCCAGAGGAGGCCATACCGTCCTTGTATGCGGCTGTGCTTTTGAGCGATTGGGCGTCAAAGGGCGGGTAGGCATTGCTCAGGCGAAGAAAGGAGGTGTCCGATCCGCAGAAAGAATCCCGAGATGGACCCGAGACGACGGAGCGTCTATCAGATCCGTTGGTGTTGAAGAGACTCGGTGTGACCTTGCCCTTGCGGACACGCATTGCCTCGAGAAGGTCTTGCTCTTGGCGGGTGACTGCGATGTAACGACTGCGCCGATTCATCTCCTTTAACTCCGCGGGAGAGCGAAGAGGCTGTTGGGGGAATTGAGAGAGGATGTCGGGCTCAGCAATGGTTGGAACTCCACTCGAGCGGCGAGTCTGTGTAGTTTTTCGGGTTGTCGTTGAGGACTTGCCATTCGAAGATTGGGAAGCCTTGCGTGGACGGGGTACCGGAAGGGGTGGTGGTTGGCTTTGTGTCGTTTGGCGAGAGGTACCACTGCTTGTAGAATGGGCGCGGTTGAACCTTTTGGCAGCAGTGGCAGTGGCCGCTCTGGCTGTAGCAGCTGTGTAGATCTCGGGCTCAGATTCATCGTAGGTACCCACGCTGTCTCTATGCTTACTTCCCTTGCGCGGCGGCTGGGTAGTTGGAGGCCGATCCTCGTCCTCGTCCTCGGAAGAGGAAAGGCAGAGCATGCTAGTGTTCTGCAGATCCTTATTTTTCAAAGTGCTCTTACTGCTCTTCTTGGTCGTAGAGCTCTGCTCGCTTTTCGCCTTGGACTTGGTGGTCTTGCAAGACTCCTGGGAAGTACTGTTGCCCCGAGCACGAACTGAGTCCGGATATGAGGTAGGGCTGAGATAAGTCTCTTTCGGTTGAGATGAGGGAGTACGGGGACGCCTGGAGCTCTTGCGAGTTTCTTGGGGGCATTGCTGTTCCGGCTGCAGATGCTCTCGGCTCGCAGTGTATACACTGGAACGGCTGAAAAGAGATCGGCGCCCTGCGTATCTGTCGAGGGCGACATCCATTTCGCTAGTTCCCACTGTACGTTCAAGCGGCCGATCGAACCACCCACTGTTTCGAGTCTCCGCAATCGAGGGTAAATCTGAGTTGTCACCATGTTTGGGGAACTCGCCCCTGGTTATAGATTCTCGGCGAGTCGATGCTTCTGCATATCCCTTCGAGTTACCAACGGCGGCGGGCCTCTCTATCTTGTCGAATGGGTGATCTGTCACCGCAGTGGACACAGAGGATGGAGAGTTCACCATTCTTTGCGGTGACAGAAGTGTCTGAGTGGTTGGGTTGCGTGGCTTTGGGAACAAGACAGAAAGATCAATTCTGGGAGGACGCATCTTGCGCTTGGATTCTTTTGGTGGTTCCGGAGCATTTGTGAATGTCACTTGGGGATCAATACCCAGACCATTACGGACTTGTGGTTGTAGTGCCTGGCTTTTGGCGGCCAATTTGGATTCCTTTGATTCCTTGGAGCTGAAGTATGAGAAAAGGGCGTTGGAGGAGCCAGAGTGATGAATCTTCTTGGGCTTGGGCAATGGTGGTGCGGGATCTTGGGATCGATAGTCCTGGCCTAGCAAAGGTGATGAAGCCCGCACTCGGAGGTTCTGGTCGGGCTTTGGGATGTGTTCTGAAGACGTGGGGAAAGGGTGAAAGGCGGTGCTCTGCCGGGGTGCACTGGTGGGCTTAATATAGCTCGGTTGGCGAGTTTTCTGTGCCTCTTTCCACCCGGTATGCTCTTGTGGGAGCGTGATGTCGGTTCCGAAGAAGCGTTGAGCTTTGGAGGTCTGTCGGTCTGCAGCTCCGGGGCTCTCTTGAGCCTCCATCGGGTCGGTTCGTGACGGTCTGCGACTTGATGTGCGCAGTGGCACATGAACGGGGGTGATTTCGCGGTGGCCCATTGTTGCAAAGCGAGATCAGATCCCCATGGAATTCTGTGCGACTTCGAAAAAGTCCGACAGCTCGCAAATTATGCGGTCACTTTGCGGGTCTCTCGGACGAAGTTCGCTTCGGGTACTGTATGTACTCCACACGTCAAAATTAGTTTACAGTGTGGCAGGGCAGGGATACATACCTAGGTAAGTTGATTTTCAACACCAAAAAAAATTAGAAGAAAGGAGAGTAACAGCGAGATACAGAGTTAGAACAAGTGCAATTCGATCAACTCTGGGGTTTGGATTGTTTTTGTAAGGAAAAGGCTTGCACGCTTAAAGGGGTGGCTCCACCAGTGTCGTCCTGGGCTTGGACCATTGAACCCGAGTCCCCATAGGCTCACAGGAACTGGCACGGCCGTGTTTCATTTATTTCAATTAATCGAAGTGGAGTAGGCAATGACAAGGATGATCGACATAGCATTGGGAAGAGGGAAATGATCGGTGCCTGAGATATTGCCCTTGTGAAAGTCCCCTCTCAGGGGTTCGTAGTTCGTACTTGTCTAAAGGTACTCTATTCCTCATTCAGTGTATACAGATCAGAATATCATCTCAGATTCCTCATTCTCATACATCACACAGGTACATCAGCTGTACGTTCTATATTTTGTACTTTGGGAAACGAACCCCCCTTGCGCCGGAACGAACCCTCGGAAACGTGGTCATTGTGCAGCAAATTCCCCGTAGTCCATTGTACTCCGTGCGCTATTGACGCCTCAAAAGCGCTTAATCTATTTCACAATGGGAACACCGCGACTGATCCCTGTCACTGTGGGTTCGAACGCGAGATGCTAGAGGCTGGGAGTACAAAATGGGAACACGAAAAGGACAAGCGAGAGCGCAGATCGGCAAAATCGATCGTTTATCGACCCAATACTCTGGAAGCCTATATTCGATCGTATCCGGAGAGAATGTCATAATTCTAGCGCCAAAGTCCTTGAAGCTGAAGGAATCCCCACCGAGGTGTATACAGTGACAAATACAACCCGCGTACTCCGCCATCCCCGGGACTACACCTCCGAGTACTCGTACTTCGTACACGTTCTACTCGTAAGTCGCGTCCTCGGGACACGGAGTACTTGTATGGAGTCAGGGCTAGCAAACCCAGGAACTGGAAATGATCGTCCCCATTGTTGGCACAAGAACTCAAACCGTGCCTGTGTTCCTCGGAACGGGCTGAGACATTTCATCTAATGATTTGGGTTGACAGCTTGACAGGCCAAGCAACGAAACCAGGCACACTGCACATGTGGTCTCTGACACGGCCCTGTAGTAGAATATCCAGTGAGAATCGTGGCACAGACACTCCATGCAAGCCATGTCCCCAACTCGTGCTAAGAATACCCGATCATGGAGATCTCATCGGACGCCTCCGTGCGCCAGGCCGTGTGCCGCGTCCTAGACCCACGAGGCGGAACACGGTGATGGCATTATGTGGGCGCAATTCCTCTCAGATCGAGATCCTGCCTTGGGACCCATTGGTTCAGCCCTGAGGGTGCATAACTCCAAGATTGGTGGCTTTTCCCTTTTCTTTCTGTTTGACTTTCCGCCGCTTCGGTGGCCTTCCAGGTTGCCAAGCGACATGCAAACACGGCCGAATGCCAAGTGTGGTGTGAAGACGGAGAAATTTGGACGGATTACCATGGATAACAATGGCAAACATGCGACCGTGCAGGCCGTTAGAAAGGTGAACAAAAGATACGAGTAAAATACATTGTGCACATCCACTGCCCTCAGCTGGGAACGCTATTGAACCCAAACTAGCGGTTTGGCAGGCGGCTATGTCAAATGGTGCGGTTTTAACCCCCTGATGGTCGCCAATAGTCGACTCCAATAGCCTGGGTGAGGAACCAAGGTTGTGAAGATGCTCTATTGTCTTTTTTCTTCGCCACTTTTCAGTAGATCATTGGAAAATCCTCCACATTTCGCATACCCCATCGCACATTCCAAAATATGCTTGATTTCTCTCGATATCAATCTTTGCGTCATGCGAGTAACTGCTCGTATACTCTACGAGTATACCCAAGCAGTCAAAGAAAAGGGGTTCCAACTTGAAACACCCGCGCATGGATCGACCATGCTTATATTTAGAGAACATTCAGGGTCCTCTCTCATTCTCCCAGCTTACCCCTTCAGTGATTTAGTGTGTCTATTTCTGGCAATGCTGTGCGGCAAAATTCTCGGTCTTGGACTGTGCTGCATTCGAAACATCGAATATTGTTCTAGAAGAAGTGGGCTTCCGAATTTTCAGACATCTGCACTCCTGGATTTGCTTTTTTCTTTCTATGTTTAACTCGGCCTTCCAGATTGAGGCATTGTCTCCCAACTATCAGGAGCTGTGACATCCGTTTAGGCATCCCATTCGGCCTGACGACTTGTTTGAAAACTTTTCCTTCCTATCCGCCGTTGAGACTTTGGATCATCGATCCCGACAATTTCCCGCGCGGGTGCGTTTACGAGTTTTTCGCGATATGAGTGCATGTGTGGAGGTTTTCACACTTGCTCCAGGGCTGCCCGTGGGTGTCAAGGTGAAAACTCTGCCCTGTTCTAAAGTTGTGTCCTATGCGCACTGGACGTTCTCAAAAGGGAAACAATCTACGGGGGCCTCCTACTCGTTCGAGTAGTAGGTACACTGAAGAGCTTTGATGAAAGGGTTATCTCCAAGTGAGCTCATCGTTGTAGATGGCGTAGGATATGTTACTATCCTTGGATTGCCCTGAGAAGTCGGGGAAGACACCCTGACATGTCCTCTCCCTGGCCTGGCGAAGAATATAGTATTTATTGCCCTATAACTTTAGAAAAGAAGTTTAGTCTCTCTAGTTCCAAGGCTGACACGGTGCCAATCTCCAAGGCTAAGGCCTTACCCCGGGCACTGCTTGTGGTTTCAGGTTTGAGGAAATGTGTGAAAATTAATTCTGCGCCGTAGTTCCACGATACGTCGAATGATTGCTATTACTTGACTTAAGAACGGTTTTAGATTTTGCTCATTTCTTGCTCCATTGGCTGTTTGAAATACTTACTGACAGTAGTACATGAAAACGCATTTCTCGATTAACACCTGATTTTCGACGTCTCTTTAGGCTTTCAATCCCATCTTGCTTGGATGACAAAAAGTCAAATCTTCTAAAGTTGAAACCGCAACCTTGGAAAGAGAGTCAAGCGAAAGCCCATTCAAAGGAAAGCAACCAGGAAGAAGAGAGAGGAATAGGAAAATTTTGAAGCACATAGCGGGAAATCATCCACCGACTTCAGGGGTGGATAATAACAATGCTCTTCATATATGATATCGATGGAGCTAAGTGTGTCCTAGCATGATGCTAGGACGCATGTTTGGAACAGTCTCCTTGTCGATACCCTACGTGATGCTATCCTGTTGGAGCTACTTAAGTTCGATATACTCACCTGGACAAGTATATGTTCGGGAATTCGAAATTGAAACTAGGTGAGCCCCAAGCCCTGTTGTCCTTTCAATATATTCAGCTAGCGGGGGCCATCGTGTGTGCGCAGGATGCCTTCGGAATTCATTAGCAAAGATATCAGTCGTGATAACTGTGCTCGCGGCCCAGTATCCCATAGCACTTTAACACCGTGAGGTTCTAAAGTTTACGACTCGGACTCCATTACTCAAGTCAATTGCAGACATTTAGCGTTGCTTACCAAAGTTATAAGTGGGTGTTTTTTTTGTAGTAGTAGTAGTAGTAGTAGTCGTAGTAGACATTGGTTGATTTCGTCAATAATGAACTGCATCGAGTAACCATGTCGGCCTGCCGAGGTACTCCGTACAGTAAACAATCCGAGTCACAATGCAAACGCAACAAACACAAATAACTTGGAACATGGCGCCCCCACTTCACGTGACACGGTGGCAACGGACAAGGGAACTGGTTTTGAGCGTGTCTGATACTTGATCTAGACAATTATGCTTAGACCGGATATTCTGCCTCTGCAGATTTCTGCGGCATAACCGGCGTCGGTTGACTCTTGTGATTTTTCCGGGATACTACTTGGATACATAGATCCCATGGGGGTTCCACTTCCAGTTTTCTGCCCGGTCTAGAAGTCGAGAGGGGGACCAGGTTTCATATACTCATAGCAGTTTGAATTTCCCCTATAGTATGCTGTACAAAATAATGAAAGGATGTCTCGAGAGCACTAAATCGAGAATTTATAAACGCGCGGTCAACAGTAATTGAAAGGTCTCAGGGGAAAAATAAAATCACAGCCCCTGCAGGAAAGAAAAAGAGAAAAAGTGCACGTTGGGTCATGACATCTACCCGGAAGAATTGTTGTTCTCCGCCCCAACTCCTTGTCAGCCGCCACTGTTCCTTTCTCCCCTTCCTTTGACTTCCTTGCTTCAACTTGTTTTCTTTCCCCCTGATGTTCTTTCTTTATTTTGTTGTGCTTTGATCAGATGGTTTCATATGAGGGGACGCTTGTGCAAACAAACTTGGGACTCCGTTCCTCTGCCATACACATGAACACGCTCTATCATGACTTCAAATGCTAGCTCTCTGCAAATCTCCATTGACTCGGCATCGGATTCCAACGCGCCTGTGCCACCACCACTGTCATCCCATATGATCCACAGCCCCAGATCTCGCAAACACGCCCGATCCCACGAAATGACAGAAAAGGACGTGGAAGATCTAAGCCAAGGGCCTTCGGGCACTGCTCTCGGGCAGTTCTCTTTTGCTCCCACTACTCGGACCACTGTTGTCACAACAACCACCACCACAACAACCTCATTTCCGCCCCTGACCATCAAACCTCCGCGTGCCGTGAAAGATCTGGATACTCGACAGTATCCCCTCGCCTCAACACCTACTCCCGCCGCACTGAGGAATCTCAAATTCAAAATTGGCGACAAGTCTATCGTCTTCAACGAGCCCGAGGATACTTCGACTGCTACTGCCGAGGTAAGATATTCGCCACCCTATCAATTTCATTGCCCAGAATTGCTCACACAGGTATAGCAAAAGGAGAAAAACGAGGCGTTACGGAACTCAAATGGCCAGATTCGCTCAGTGAACTCCTTCATCCTCGAGGGCGAGAACCCTATACAGCGACTTACCAGGTCGAATCCAACGAGTCAACCGTCCGGCCACTCCTCTGACGCTCGACGCCGTGCAGTCTCACCAGTTTCCATCCCAGATACACGACCCGCTATACTGCCCCGAACTCGCTCGAACCGAGTTCCTTCTGAACCTATCACCCGCCGCACTCGCCAAAGTGGCGTGTCGTCAACTCATCTCGCCGCTGGATTGGCCACTCCCGACACCGAAGTTAACACCGGGGGACTAGGCGAAAATGTGGCACCGAAACCAAGAATCCACAGTGCGGCATTCCCGCGAAGGGAGCCCCCTTTGCCGTCGCCCCTTTCCTCTGAGATTGGTGCCAAAGGCCCACATACTCCTCACCCAAGTTTCGGCTTGCAGAGTGAGGTGTCTGGTAATTGCTCAGGCTCCGTGCCTCGAGAGCCTCATGTGCATACGCAGGAAGGAGACGATAGCGGCCCGGCCACGCAGGAGGCGAGCTCATTTGATCACGACTCGACGTATGATACGCAGGAAACTACACAAGAGCGACCGGAGCTCACTTCTCAGCTTTCGGCGATCGATAATGCCATGGCCCAAGATATGTGTCTCCCTAGCCCCAGTCTCTCGCCGGTCGCTGCGATGAATGCTTTACACGGCGAATCCTCGTTTGATTCGGAAGGATTCGACAATGATACGGATTCTAGCCTCGATCAAAACGTTTCGCGTCTTTCGAGGGCTTTGCGACTTCAAGATGCAGAGGGTGGCCGATCAAATAATCACATTGCTGGGAACTCACGATCCCCGTCCTCACTTCTAGACATGCCCAAGGTCCTGGACTTCTTTGACTCGGTTCCGGATGAGGTCAAAACCTATCTGATGTACCAATTCCTCCGAAGATGCCCTAAGCCTACTCTCCATTTTGTGGCCGACGTGGTTAACCCAACATTGAAGTGTGACTTCCTCACTCTTCTTCCTCTGGAGCTCAGTCTCAACATTGTCAAGTACCTTGATGTACAGACCATGTGTCGTGCTGCGCAGGTCTCCAAACGTTGGAGACATATCACCAACTCCGATGAAAAGAGCTGGAAGAATTTGCTTATAAGTAATGGTTACTCGCTTTCAGACGGGGAGTTGGAGCGAGCCATCCGGCAAGGATGGGGGTGGCAACTGTGCAACGGTCCCGAAAACCACGAAGAAGACCTCAGCATCCTTGATATACCCAAGGTGGACAGGGAAGTTTCTCCTGTTCCCACAATGACCGGTCCAAGCAGTAGAAGCCCATTAGCAGCACTACCCGTCATCAGACGGCCCAAGAGGAAGGCAAACACGCGTATCTCGAGCCGTAAACTTGCCAAGCGAAAGGTATCGGCAATTGGAGAATTTGCTGATCCGGACTGGAGAAAGGATATCGCTGCTTCTGAAACTCCTTACGCAGCTGCTAATGCAGCGGCCTCTGCTGTTCCTTATGCCGAAGTGGGACTGCCATCTCTCCGTGGAATATCTCTTTTCAAGGTTCTCTATCGTCGCCATGTTTCAATCCATAAAGGATGGATGCAGCCGGATGTCAAGCCACAGCACATTGCTTTCCGTGCCCATGATCGTTCTGTTGTCACTTGCTTGCAATTTGATGCCGACAAGGTCCTCACCGGAAGCGATGATACAAACATCAATGTCTATGATACGAAGACAGGCGCTCAGAAGGCAACGCTGCAGGGCCACGAAGGTGGTGTCTGGGCTTTGGAATATCATGGCAACACTCTGGTATCCGGCTCCACTGATCGCTCGGTGCGAGTTTGGGACATTGAGCGCGCTCGATGTACTCAGGTCTTCCATGGCCATACCTCAACTGTGCGCTGTCTACAGATTGTCATGCCCACGGAAATCGGCAGGGATGCAAATGACCAGCCTGAGATTATGCCCAAGGAGCCTTTGATCATCACTGGTTCTCGCGACTCAAGCCTTCGTGTTTGGAAGCTCCCCAAGCCCGGTGACCCGGTCTACTATCAAAATGGCCCTCTTGCGGATGACACTGCCTGCCCGTACTTCCTCCGTGTTCTTTCCGGCCATTCACATTCTGTCCGTGCAATCGCAGCCCACGGCGATACTCTCGTTAGTGGCAGCTACGATTTCACAGTCAAAGTCTGGAAAATCTCCACTGGACAGACTTTACATACGCTGCAAGGCCATTCGATGAAAGTGTATAGCGTCGTTCTTGACCACAAGCGCAACCGCTGCATCAGTGGCGCCATGGACCACATGGTCAAAGTGTGGTCACTGGACGACGGATCCGTGCTATATAACCTCGAAGGCCATACATCTTTAGTCGGATTACTCGCCTTGGAGCACGAATTCCTAGTTTCGGCTGCGGCCGATTCCACCCTCCGTATCTGGGACTCCGTGCACGGCCACTGCAAGAACACATTGAGTGCGCACACTGGGGCCATCACCTGCTTCCAGCACGATGACCAGAAGGTTATTTCAGGGTCTGATCGTACACTGAAGATGTGGGACGTGCGGACTGGCGAATGTGTGCGCGATCTTCTCACAGACCTCAGCGGTGTGTGGCAGGTCAAGTTTAACGACCGCCGATGTGTTGCTGCAGTTCAGCGCGATAACCTGACCTATATTGAAGTTCTCGACTTCGGCGCAGCCCGAGACGGCGTGCCAGATACCAACCTCGCGAAGCGAATTGTCGTTAACCGACGGGGCCAAGAAGTTGTCAATGGCACCGAGGACGACGACGACTCTGACTGAGCCTGTTCTCATGACCAATCTGACGACCCTACCCTACTATTTTTCCCTTTTCTCATTTCTCTTCTTTCCCCCATTCACGATACCCATCCTTACAGCTCTCGTCTTCCATCGGAACAAACATCCTTTGCATAGCGCGGTCGGCATTCTTTGTTACAGCATTACGAAAAGGGCCAGGCGTATTTCTTTTCGCTTTTTCTTTTTTATTTCTTTGCGTCGATTTCTTATGTGTAATCTCATTTACTTTGTATCCCCAATTATTGATCGACATTCCCTGTGCATGATATTTTTCCTTGTCATCAACGCGTATTTGTGACCTCTTATGCCATTCTGTGCTGGCACACTGCTAGTATTGGGCGGTAGACCCTTTTACAATACTTATTGGTTTGGCTTTGTCTGTATCAGACTGTAATAGATTGTTATGACTGGTTTTTGGAATTCTTTCCTAATTAGACGCTGTAGTTGATATCTTTTGCGTGGGATAAATTCCAAGGTTGCCTTTAACGTCGAATTTGAGGCACACCCTGGCCCTAAAGACATTGATGCCTCGTTGATCGTGCCGTTTAGCAGATGGCTGGGATTTTATCTCAAAAGCCTTAGTAGTAGGAGAATAGGTCGGGCCATTGAGATCCTAGTGTCATGTCCTTTGTCTGTTCCAAAGGTCGGCACAACCTCGAAAGATATGGCATTCCTGCCCCGAAAATCGATATCGGCACTCTCAAGTTGCAGACCCCTGTCAAATTGTTACGATTAAGCTCACGCTTGGCGGAACCTTGGAAGTAGCTTGAGGCTTTCTTAGTCTTTTCAAAATGCCGCTGTTGTTTGCGTGTTAGGAGACTCAGTCGCAGGCCGAACACCTTCCAAGCTCCCATCGATACCAGCTGCCGATAAAATCGACCAGCGGACAGCATCGATTCCCAGGAATCGGCCTTGTCCAATTGCTGCTTCAGCACTGCAGGTCAAGATCTCACCTAACGAACCAGGCCCCTCTCCAGCCTGAGGATCCAGCTGAACAAGTGGTTTGATGCCATTCAGTAACAACTGCAGTCGCTCTACATTCGCAGCCGTCACTCCTGTTTTCATGGTTTTCATCTTCTTGGCAAGGAACTTGTCCACTTTGGATAGGATGATTTGGTGTGGTATAGCATGGTGTCGGAATAATCGGAGGATGTCCGCGTCCGTCTTCTTTATACCATGCATACTATCAATGAGTAAGAATGCCCGACGAAGTCTGCTACCGTTAGCCAGCCATAGACGCATCTCCACGTCTTATAACTCACTGTCTCCTTCCTTGGAGATATTTCATGATCTCCGCGCCCCATTCAGCCCGACTGGCCTTTCCATATCCCGGCATATCAAGTAGGACCACCTTCGATTCACCGCCCTTTGTGCCTCCAATCCCAAACGCATTCATTTCCCTCGTCCGACCCGGTTTGGATGATGTCCAACAGACCTCCTTGCCCATGATTGCGTTCAAAAGCGAACTTTTGCCGACATTCGAGCGACCCAAAAACGCGACCTCTGGCTCGACCGAGGACATTGGCGTTGTGCGGAATTTAGCCGCGGACCAGAGCTTTATCGGCGAGTGCCGAGACGGCGTGAATACCTGGTCCGCGAATGCTAGCTGCTCTGGCCGTGGAGGTTGTGTATCCCAGTAGTAGCATAGGTCGGAGGGAGTAAGGTCTTTGAGAAGGCGCTTTGCGTGAGGGTTCGAAGATGAGGAGACGGCTCGGATTGTTGTGAACAAGGATTTCTTAGGCGCCGAGCACCGGTACAGTGGTGCAGTATACATTGTGTGCAGAGTTCCAATATGTTGTGAAGACGAAAAAAAGATCAACTTGACATTTCTCCAGATCGGCGCACGGGGCAAGTCTCTCCCGAAACCGCACCCCATTGCGATAAGCTCCAGCTACTCCGTACTGCATACAGAGCTACGGAGAACACCTTCGGGAATCCTCGCCAACATGATCAACGCAGTGCTCGTGTTCAATAATAATGGCCAGCCCCGTCTAACAAAGTTCTACACTCAACTGGTATGTCCCACCTCCGCGCAGACAGGAATTCCCCAGCTCAACCCAACCAGGACACGCAGACCCAGCAATCTCTCATCGCGCAGATCTATCGCCTGGTAGCGCAACGTCCACCAAGCGCCTGTAACTTCCTCCCTCTTCCGCCCCTTCTCTCCCAAGGCGCCAGCTCCTCCGCCACCGGCCCCTCCGACACCCCCACCCAAATTACATACCGCACCTACGCAACCCTGTCTTTCATCATGATCTCCACCTCCACCGAATCTCCACTGGCTCTGATCGATCTGATCCAAGTCTTCGTCGAGAGTCTGGACCGCATGTTCGAGAACGTCTGTGAACTGGATCTGATTTTCGGCTACGAGACTCTGCACGCAGTCCTTGGTGAGATGATCGTCGGCGGTGTCGTCGTTGAGACACATATTGAGAAAATCATCGCTGGTGTACGTGCTCAAGAAGGCTCGTTGGGTAAGAAGCGTGCCGTCCAGGCTGCTAATGCCAGTCTGGGGCGCGGGGCTTTGCCTGGTTTGGGGGCGTGGCGATGAGCTGATGGGTAATTTCTGATTATTTTGCATTGTGTACGGAGTCTATGAAGACTGCATGTCTCAACCTTTCTTTTTCTACGGAGTTCTGGTTGCATATCCTGTACTTCCTTCCATGGGGTTTGGAGGTGGTTAGTGGTGAATCTGGTAATTGATGCCCTCAGACGACATGTTTATAGATTTGTATCTAGTATGAACTGTTCTATCATTTCGAGTTTTCTGTTGGTAACATCATTTCAAATTACCCCAAGGGTTCTTCTATAGTTAGACATGGGTCAGAAAGAAGGAACTCAATAGAAGGGAAACCTTTTTCTGTCAGACAAGGTATACAATGCTGATATCAGAAAGGAATTGCAGCAAATTCTCAAGTCGAATCTCTTCAAACTGCTAATTGTCTGTTTGGTCAAATGAGAGATGTAAGTTTGTGGGTTCACTTGGTGAATCTGTAACTTAACTGACTGCAAAGACTCGACTGTCTATGCCTGAAGAATTGCAGGGCGAATCTGATGCTGCGGAATTTGGCTACTTTGCAATGATGACTAGTATCTTCAAACATAGCCGACCCAGATATACACCAACTTCTCATCATGAATGCCTTGAGTTCGCACGGAAAGCGCTTAAAAGTTTGATTACCATGTTACAGCCCGTTGGCTTGGGTTTAAGCACAGAAGAACCATATTCTTCGTTTCTATGCTGGTATGTGATCATAAGATGTTCAACAGGATTCGGATTCGTACTTAAGTACTAATTTAAAAAGGACAGTTTTATTATACCCGCTAACTCCATTCTTCGTGCTTTTCTGCAACGACGTATCATCATCGAATGATAATGGCTTTATTTTAATCCAAGATGTCACGAAGAGGCTATCTCGGTTTGTCCATGGAAACAAATGGATTCACAAAGTTCATGGCCTTTCAACATGTTCCTCCATCTATGCGACCCGTTAATGCAGCACATCGGTTCGGAGAGACCATGCGATCTTAATCGCGGAAGGCTTTCAGCTGACGAAACCTTGCCGCTCGAGAGGTTAGATGCCACAGATGAGACCTTGATGTGGGAATCATTCACAGCGCAGCCTTCATTGGAATGGTTTGACTTGGACCTCTGATGTTACCGGTTTTGATCTCACTCCAGGTGCCCGGAATGAGCGCCGCCAGACATGTCCAATGTTGTTCACTTCTAAAGTTGCCCAGGTGGGCAGCTTCTAAAGTTCGCGATATGAGAGCCTTGAAAACATTTTCCTAATCAACTTTAGAAGAGAATTGTGATTGTCTCGTGTTGGTAATGTCTTTTCTCTAAGCTCTAATTGAAAATCTCAGGGCTCTAGGTATAGCCCTGGAGGTAAATTTCGATAATTCGAATGGCTTAAGAATGTGTAGACAGATGATATTCTATTGAGGATGTCCAAATGGTCACAAATTAAGCGAAATATATTCAAGAAAACCTCTCAATATATCTATAGATATTAGCAAGCATTGCCTGATGTGTAATACTTCGTATTGTGGCTAGCGAACAGCAGAACTGTTTACTAGCCAGAACCAAAAGAAAGGGTTGGCAAGTTAAATGTCCTAGGTTAGAACCAAGTAGGTCAGATCGCTAGTAATTCATGTATAATTTTGGAAGAACCTTGAAAGCTTAGGTGGTTAAAGTAGGGTGGGGCTAGCCTGGGAGCCTGCTCAGCTTCACTACTCCGAGATCATAAAGCGGCGACATACGGGAGACCGATTGGGCAAAGTTTTTCAAGAGATTGGTACGCATCACGTGTACATGCTGACACGTGACCATACAGCTGTGCCCTAGCGTCTTACCCTAGCCCTGATCACGTGCGTGCGCTAGCGCAACACTAGCGCGACCCACGCAGAATTCATTAAGTCGCATCCACAAGACTTCTTTCTTTTCTCATCCGTCAACCGTCAACCAGCGCAGATCCCAGTCGACAACATGGTGGTGAGTACTTTAGATGTCTCTTGATTAAGTTCAAGAGACTTTGCTTTAGTTTTCAGCAATGTCGAAAGACATTTGCTTTGCTTCAGATCTTTGATCTAAGCAATTCCGCCGATCGCACACAGCCTCGAAAGAGATGTGTGTGATTGTGTGATGATTTTGGCTGGAAACATGGAGCCAATGCCCGTAACACGGCTTGGTTTCATGTTCTCCTTAGAGTACAAAGAAGACGCAGCATCAGGTGAACAGCACGCTGATCTTCTTTTCTCAATGATAGCCTCCCAAGTCCGGAAAGAAGACCGCCGCTATGCCCTACCCCCAGGGCAAGGCTGGCTCCAGCAAGAAGGCTGCTAAGGTTAGTTCTCTTCTTTTCCTGGCAGTGCATTGAGAAAGACACTGACCCTTCTTGTGAATTTCAGAACCCTCTCATCGAGAAGCGTTCCCGCAACTTCGGTATCGGCCAGGACATCCAGCCCAAGCGCAACCTGTCCCGCTTCGTCAAGTGGCCCGAGTATGTCCGTCTTCAGCGCCAGAAGAAGATCCTGAACATGCGCCTGAAGGTTCCTCCTTCCATCGCTCAGTTCCAGGCTACTCTGGACCGCAACACCGCTGCCCAGACCTTCAAGCTCCTCTCCAAGTACCGCCCTGAGACCAAGGTCGAGAAGAAGGAGCGTCTCGTCCAGGAGGCCACCGCCGTCTCCGAGGGCAAGAAGAAGGAGGATGTCTCCAAGAAGCCCTACAACGTCAAGTACGGTCTCAACCACGTTGTTGGCCTCGTTGAGAACAAGAAGGCTTCCCTCGTCCTCATCGCCCACGATGTTGACCCCATTGAGCTCGTTGTCTTCCTCCCCGCTCTCTGCCGCAAGATGGGTGTCCCTTACGCCATTGTCAAGGGTAAGGCCCGTCTCGGTACCGTCGTCCACAAGAAGACCTCCGCCGTCCTGGCCCTGACCGAGGTTCGCTCCGAGGACAAGACCGAGTTCGCCAAGCTCCTCTCTGCCATCAAGGAGGGCTACACCGACAAGAACGAGGACACCCGCCGTCACTGGGGTGGTGGTATCATGGGCCAGAAGGCCAACGACCGCATCGCCAAGAAGCAGAAGGCTCTCGATGCTGCCATCAAGGTCTAAGCTTGTGTAACTACAGCTTTTTTCTCTGATGTCTTGACGGGATCGTTTTCTTAATCGAAGCGCTCGGCTCAAAAAATTTTGTGGGAACAAAAGGTGTTCGAGGACTTGACGATCTATTGACGGCCAATTTTTTTTAGCTTTAGATGGGTGCGAAAGAGCCCTCGGGCACTTTGATCCTGTTCTGACAAAAAAAGATAATTTTTCCTCTTACGAACTCCAATGGCCCTATGTACCAATTTTGCAGATACCCATGAATGCATTTCTTACCTGTTCAATCTATGGTCTTAGAACTATCAGAACCAGGCATTCATGTCGTCTGCTTTGTAGCTTGTATGACACTAGTGAGGATGTAGATTTTATTTTATCGAGGTGGTTGTATGTCACATCTTAGGTTAATTCATGGACATTGATGAATTAAGGCTAGATTTGAGAACTTCGTACTGCGTACTTAAGTACTTCGTGCCTTGAAACGCTGACCCTTCGAATTTTCACGCCTTGTGGTGGGCTCACATCTGCCAAGAGCCAAGACCGAAAATCCTCTTCTCTAAAGTGATAGTCCCGTCTTGGCAGCACCCTACTGATCTATGTAGACGTCTTATCACGACTACATCTCATTACATTGGATCTAAGTACGCTCCCTTCCGTCTGTTACACCCTCAAACTGCACCCTACTTGGTCCAAGGCCATGTGAAAGCATCACTTGTGAATTGTGGAGGGAAAAAGTATCAGGTCATTCTCATATCACGTATGAACATCCCACTCAATCGAAGAGATCTAGTAGTTCTGCTGCTCGTCGTAGGCGTTGTGAGCGTGCTCACGAGCCTGGTACTTGGCCTTCTCCTTGTCGAAGAAGTCAAGGCCACGGGACTCGACCTCGCGGTCGATGAAGGCACCAGCGAATCCGGCGAGGAGCTCCTTGGCCTTAGCGTGGTTCTCGGGCTGGCCTGGAAGATATTAGTGCCGTTTTCTATCATTCACGAGGATGTGGACTGCTTACCGTTGCGGGCAACGTGCTCCTCGTAGGCCTTGGCGGCCTCGTAGCTGGCGGCACCGGCGATCAGCTCGTGGATCTTGGAGGGCTCGTGCTTCTCGTGGTAGTCGCCACCCTGGACGGTGTTGTAGGCCTGTGCCTGGTCGGAGTCGTCTACAAGATGTCAGCAGCTATAGACTTGGGAGGAAACAGGATGACATACCAGAGAAGAAACCCATTGTGATGTGAAGTAAGATATGGAAGATGGAAGAAGAGAGAGTATGAGGAGGGGTTGTGCTGGTGGGGTGGGAAAAGGGGGTTTTATAGGGCACTCGAGGGGCCACTTCATCAAGTCACACCATTGGATTCAAATGAGGGGCAATCGGTGATCGGAGCTCCAAAATTGCGTGTGTCCAGAGGCTAAGCAACAACTAGTTGACAAGTGGAGACTTGGCTTTCGACGTCTTCGCACTTCGCCTTTTGCTCTTCAATTTGTACTCGCACGGTATGTTATTGTCTAGCCTGCAGCATGCAGTGCAAGGTCGATCCCTGCAGTGTCCTACCTGCAGACAGTGTACATATCACTTCATCCCCAATTGACCTCATCTTTATTAACTCTTGGGGTATGTTTCGAGTTGAGTACGGATAATCCTACGAGTAGCGGTGTGGATGGTAGAAGAAGTATGAAATTACAGAGATCTGGAAAAGACCCATAAGAAAAAGTACAGACAACCCGCCCTATGCTCCTAGACCAAAGATACTCGTTTTGAACAAAACCCGTGAGAGAACCCCGTCTAAAAACACAAACAGCGAGGGTGTATAGTGAAAACATAAACATGCGGTCATTCCATCATTAACGTTGAGCGGGAGGTCGTGAAAGCCCCTGTCGTACCTGTAAATTCATTAGCAACGTCCATGTCTGAGCTCCAACCAAAATATCATACCTTCATCTGTTCGATCCTCGCCTTCAACTGGCTGGTCACTTCCGCGGCCCGCTTCCAGTTCTCCGCCGGCTCCGTACTACGAGGCTGGTCTTCTTCGAGGTTGGTGTTGGATGTCCGGGTCGATGATCGGGTCGGGCTGCCGAGGTTCGAGTAGCCATACGTAGGGCTCAACCGTCGACCCAGACCACCGTTACGACTGGCCGGTCCCGGTGAGTCCATACCACCATTCTCCTTGTCCTCGACAGGACTAGCGGAGGCATAACTTCGGCGCGAGCTCTCGAAACGAGATCCCATGTGAAGACCTGACCGTGCAGCGGCGTTGCTGTTGTGGTCTGAGTAAATGGAGCCTTCCTGCATACCCATGCCACCAGCATCAGACATGGCATTCGGTGGGCTGATGGCTGACGCACGGAGGGCTCGTGCAAGTTCACGCTTCAATCGCTCAATTTCGCGTTGTTGCTTTTGTACATTGCCCTCTGCAGCTTCGGCGTCACTCCGGGCTCGCACTAGCTGTGTCTCCTTCGCCTTGATGCTCAGGACGTCCCGGGTATGATCTTCAATCAACTGTGCATTTTGGTTCTGAAGTTCAGTAATTGTGGAGTTGAGCTTCGAGCGCTCGGATTTCATTTCTTCAACGGTTCGGTTGAACTTTTCTTTCTCCATCCGAAGCTCTTCGAGTTCGGCTCGATCGGCTGCTGCCATAGGATTAGGTGCCGGTGCAGCAGGAGCAACAGGCTCGACCGGTGATGGTTTTGCGATGGGACGACCGGCAAGACCTCGCCCCATCCCGAATTTAGGGGCGGCCGGTGGAGGTGCCACGTCCTCTTCGGGGGGTGGCGCGACTCGCCTCGAGGGCGATGCGGCGGTTCCTGGCCCAGCAAGCTTTCTCTGGAGCTTGAGACCCGAGCCAGGAGTCGGGAGGCCACCAGCCTTTGGGGCACCAAGCCTTGAGGCGACTGCCTTGGGCGGAGGCTTCAACACGGGCTCCTCTGGGACAGGGGGTGCAGCTGCAGGGGCGAGTTTCTTCAGTCCTGAGGCAGCTGGCTTCTTGCCAACAACCTTCCGGCCTGCTGGGGCCGCAGGCTTGGGAGGAGCCACAATGGGCTTGGGGCGCTCCTTGGCCTTGACTTCTGCGGTGCCAAAGTATTCCTTGATCTTGGTTTTGCGAATCTCGTCAAGACCATCCAGGTATGGGTTCATGGCCCGTTCACCCAAGATCTTCATCAATGTACCAAGAATTTCGGCGGCTCCTTCACGGACTGCCGGTGCTGACTCGGTAAGCAATTTGGTGCCAGCATCAGCGATTGACTTCTGCTCAGGTTTGGATGGTACCTCCCGGGTCGTGCGCAGACAGCGGACCAGGAATTTGACCGTCTCTTGCTTGATCTGTGGGTTCTTGTGTTTGAGATATTCGAAAATCTCCTCTAGGCAGTCGGAAAGGGTTGTTGTTGTGAAGACGGCATCTAACGCCTGACCTAACGCATCTGCCACAGTCGTCTTCTTTTCTTTTAGACGTTCAAACATGGGTACCATGATAGTGCTTCTGTACTTTGTGAAGCCGTTACGCAGACCCTTGGCCAAAACATCGACACAGTTTGCAGCCACCGTGACAACGGCAACGTTAGCGTCCTTCATCGACTTGGCCAATCCCCTCACGACCTCATCGTAGGGCCCATCTTTGATTCGTGGCACGTTGATCACAGCATAGAGGGCATCAAGCGCTTCCTTGCGGTCCTTCCATTTAGATGACGCAAGTTGGTCGTGAAAGTTGTCAGGGATCTTCTTGAAGACGTCGACCGGCTCGGCCAGGTCAAACGCATCAACAACCACTCCATCCTCCTCTTCATCAAACTCGTCGCCCATTGGTTCATCGCCCTCCTCGCCTGCAGGTGCACTACTGGCTTCAGCCATAGCATCCTGTTGTGCTCGAGTGAATCGCTCCTGCTTTGGAGCGGGTTCCTGCTTCACGCTCTCAAATAATTTCTCCAGATCTCCTTGCTGAACCGGTTTTAGATCGGCCCAGAAGAGAGGCTTGATAGCCTCGCGTAGCCACCTGTATAGCTCAACGGTAAGATTTTGAGCCTCGGCTCGGACATTCTTATCGGCATGGCCGAAAACCTTGGGGAGCGCCTTCAAAGTCTGCTTTGGGTCGACGATCTTGCATCCGAAATTGTGATAAATGGCGGTAAATGCTGCGAGTGAGGCCGCCACTACCTTGGGTACTTTATGTGACAGTGTGGGCAGCAGCTCTTCGATCACCGGGTCCGCCTTGTCCAACTCCACACATAATAGAAGCGCTTCCTGAGCGCTGGCCTTGCCGGCCGGTCGTGTCGATGGTAGACCTTTCTCTGCGATTGGTCCAATGGTGTATCCGCGGGTCCTAAGGATGGAAAAGTTAGCGGGTTAATGGACTTCTAGCCTCCACCGACACGGGTTCAATGCGCACCTTGTACAGGCCTGAACTCCTCCAAACTGTAAGAAGGCGCAGTATGCCCCGAGTCCTTCTAGTTGTGCTGCTACGTTTGAATCTGCCACCGCGCCTTTCCACAAGCCGGGGTCTTGCATGAACGGCACAAAAACCGGGTGTGATTCATCAGGGGTCTTTTCAAACTGTGCTTTGGCATCTTCGTAGCCCTCCTTGCGGACTTTCCAGTTCTGTACATTGCATTAGAATCTCCAGTAACCTCATGCGATCTTTCTCGAGGGGGCTATCGGGGTGAGCGCACCTTATGGGAGAACCGGTCGGGTAAAGGCAAGGAGGAAAGGTCCTCTTGGGCGTCCGCCATGCTGGGATGTCACCGAAAGACTATGCTATATGCGGGTATCTGATGGCAACCGGATTAGCGCTCTGCGAGCTCCCGTCTGCAAGTTGTACAAAAAAAAAGGATCGTGGGGCAAGAAGAGTCAAGGAAGTTATTGGGTGGCTGCGTGGGGAGATGGATTCTGGCCGTACCGTATTTGTTGGTGCCCAAAGGAAAATTGTAGACAGTCTCAGTTCCGCAGTCAAAAGGGCGGAGAAACTGAGTAGTAAATTAGGGGGTGCTCAAATGGACGTATCTCAAAGTCCAGTCCAAAGAGAACAGGTTGACGTCGGGGGAGAAAATAAACAGTTGGAGAGGATCGGGAAGTAAACAAGCGGCTTGGCGAGATTGTTTTGTTGTGACCGAACCCCGCGGTGGATCACACTTGCTCTCTTCATATATCTGCAATTATCTCGTCTCGATCTTCTCGCTCGTGCGTCTTCGCTGCTATCTTCAATTTGGTGTCTCGCCAATTCGCCCGCATTGCCGCGTCGCCGTTTACCTTCCGACACCGCTTCCCCTCCATCGCCAGTTTTTTTAAAAAACACAAAAAACAGCACACTGTACATGCGCGTTGGGCCGCCGTTGTGAGAAACAAAAGAGCTGCATCATGAGCCAACTTCTCACTCCGCGCCAGGCGGAGGAGCTGTATGTGACCATGGAACTCATTTAGGGGGTCATTGACTAATGTTGCGACAGGCATAAAGGAATAATCGCCTACCTCACCTCGGTGAATCTACACCACAGCTCCGCGGCGTTGCGAGAAGAGTTGGGTGACTCGGTCACGGTTGACGACACTACACTTAAGAAATACGAGGGACTACTGGAAAAGAAATGGACGAGCGTGGTCCGGTTACAAAAGAAGGTGTGTGTGTTGTGCGAAGATCGGGGCCAATGATTTCCTCTTGTTAATCTGCCATTCGGGGTATAGATTATGGACTTGGAATCGCGATGCGCGTCGCTCCAAGCCGAGTTGGATACCGCAACACCCACGTCTCTCTCAAAAAGAAACCAAGATCCAGCCTCTTGGCTGCCGAGAGCACCAGCGCGTCATGACCTTGAATCGCACCGCTCGCCAGTCTCTTGCGTGGCTTTCCATCCTATATTCTCCTCACTCGCCTCTGGTTCAGATGACACCACTATCAAAATTTGGGACTGGGAGCTAGGTGAACTCGAGAGGACGATCAAGGGACATACGAGAGCGGTGCTGGACGTCGACTATGGAGGTCCGCGCGGCGGTACCCTTCTTGCGTCATGCTCGTCAGATCTGACTATCAAGCTGTGGGACCCAGCGGATGACTATAAGAATATTCGGACACTTCCTGGGCACGATCACAGCGTATCGTCGGTTCGGTTCATTCCATCAGGGGCTGCAGGGTCGCCCATGTCGGGGAATTTGTTGGTCTCGGCATCTCGCGACATGACACTCCGTATTTGGGATGTGACAACTGGATATTGCGTGAAGACGATGCAGGGCCACGGAGACTGGGTGCGCGATGTAGTGCCATCCGCAGACGGTCGGTTCCTCTTCTCGGGTGGTGATGACCGAGTCCCTCGTCTCTGGGATGTATCGTCTGGTGAGACCAAGTCAACTTTCCTAGGTCACGAACACTATATCGAATGCGTCGCTTTCGCCCCGGCAACCAGTTACCCTCACCTCGCACCCCTCGCAGGGTTCAAGAAGCCCCCATCAGCATCATCCTCTGCCGAATTCGTGGCCACTGGATCTCGGGATAAAACCATTCGTCTCTGGGACACTCGCGGTAACTGCATCAAGACTCTGGTGGGGCATGATAACTGGGTCCGCGCAATGGTCTTCCACCCCGGCGGCAAATATCTACTCTCGGTATCCGACGACAAGACTATGCGGTGCTGGGATCTCACACAAGAAGGCAAGTGCGTGCGCACTATTCCCGCTCACGATCACTTCATCAGCTCGATTCGGTGGGCACCGCCATTAATCAAAGATACGGGTGCGAACGAGACGAACGGCGACGCCGCAAATGGCGCGAAAGAGGATCCCAACGCGACCAAGATGTCGATTCGATGTGTCCTCGCGACGGGCAGTGTGGACCTCAAGGTCCGTGTCTTTGCATCATGATCGAAAGCGAGCTTTTAGCACAGAACCTCTTTTCACCCAAGGCAACACAACATCCGCCTGATATACCAAATCCCCCCGCGCCCAGTCTCCTAGGGACTCATCCCCGAAGGCTCTGCATAAGGAATTCGGGCTGAGCCCACCATCCTTTTTTTTTTTTTTTTTTTTTTTTTTTTTTTTTTTTTTTTTTTTTTTTTTTTTTTTTTTTATTTTTTTTTTTTTTCTTTTTGTTTTTTTTTTGTTTTTTTTTTGCCTTTCGTGTTTTTGTACTTTCTTGCGGGTGGGCTAG